ACTACATACTGATATACACCTGAACATCAGCAGGAGAGAACTCTTTAAAGTAGAGACACTACATACTGATATACACCTGAACATCAGCAGGAGAGGACTCTTTAAAGTAGAGACACTAAATACTGATATACACCTGAACATCAGCAGGAGAGGACTCTTTAAAGTAGAGACACATACTGATATACACCTGAACATCAGCAGGAGAGGACTCTTTAAAGTAGAGACACTACATACTGATATACACCTGAACATCAGCAGGAGAGGACTCTTTAAAGTAGAGACACTACATACTGATATACACCTGAACATCAGCAGGAGAGGACTCTTTAAAGTAGAGACACTACATACTGATATACACCTGAACATCAGCAGGAGAGGACTCTTTAAAGTAGAGACACTACATACTGATATACACCTGAACATCAGAGGGAGAGAACTCTTTAAAGTAGAGACACTACATACTGATATACACCTGAACATCAGCAGGAGAGAACTCTTTAAAGTAGAGACACTACATACTGATATACACCTGAACATCAGCAGGAGAACTCTTTAAAGTAGAGACACTACATACTGATATACACCTGAACATCAGCAGGAGAGGACTCTTTAAAGTAGAGACACTACATACTGATATACACCTGAACATCAGCAGGAGAGAACTCTTTAAAGTAGAGACACTACATACTGATATACACCTGAACATCAGCAGGAGAGGACTCTTTAAAGTAGAGACACTACATACTGATATACACCTGAACATCAGCAGGAGAGAACTCTTTAAAGTAGAGACACTACATACTGATATACACCTGAACATCAGCAGGAGAGGACTCTTTAAAGTAGAGACACTACATACTGATATACACCTGAACATCAGCAGGAGAGAACTCTTTAAAGTAGAGACACTACATACTGATATACACCTGAACATCAGCAGGAGAGGACTCTTTAAAGTAGAGACACTACATACTGATATACACCTGAAACTCAGCAGGAGAGGACTCTTTAAAGTAGAGACACTACATACTGATATACACCTGAACATCAGCAGGAGAGGACTCTTTAAAGTAGAGACACTCCATACTGATATACACCTGAACATCAGCAGGAGAGGACTCTTTAAAGTAGAGACACTACATACTGATATACACCTGAACATCAGCAGGAGAGGACTCTTTAAAGTAGAGACACTAAATACTGATATACACCTGAACATCAGCAGGAGAGGACTCTTTAAAGTAGAGACACTACATACTGATATACACCTGAACATCAGCGGGAGAGGACTCTTTAAAGTAGAGACACTAAATACTGATATACCTGAAAATTAGCTTAATATGTTCTCTTTAATATTTAAATTAAGTCCAAAGTAGGAGGAGGAGGAGGAGGAGGAGGAGGAGGAGGAGGAGGAGGAGGAGGAGGAGGAGGAGGAAGAATATGAAGAAGAAGAGGAGGAGCAGGAGGAGGAAGAAGACGAAAAGCAGTTTGCTAATCAACCTTCTGGGCTTGACCCATGTTGTTGAAGGACTGCCGTTGCCATGGATACACGAGGGAATCAAAGAGCTCCTTTTCTCACCTGATGACGATCACACGGTGACACAAACACAGCGGGGGTGTGAAAGATATCTGAGACCGTGTGAAGAAGAAACTGAGTGAGCAAGAGACTGGATGTGTTCTATACCTCACTTCTCATTTGGTGGCTACTTCCTTCATATCTGATATGTTTTTGGGTTTATATGCAAGGGTTGGGAGGGTTACTTTAAAAAAAATGTAATATGTTACAATTATTAGTTACCTGTGAAATCAGTAATCTGAGCATCACAATATAAAAGTAACCGGATTACTTTCTGCTACTTTTGGATTATCTCAATATCAAATGCAATGCAAATGAATGCATAAGTCATATCAAGAAGATGTTGTTTTACTTATGTGTATTAAATAAGACAACAGAACAATGTGACCTTAGAAAAGAAAATATATTTAGGATCAAAAAGATTTTATTGATAGTAAAACCTGCCTTTCATGAAGCACATTCAGCCGATACACCAACACTGAAACACATGAGCACATACTACAGTTTAAAAAAGCAGAAATCAAATCTGAGCTGACAGAAAATGCTCCGTTTTAGTTAAACACACACAGTTAAGCTCACACACACTATTTTATGAACATATAGGTTCACCTGCTGAATTAAAAACAGAACAAATGAAGCAAAGAAAGTGAAAACCATAAAGCAGATTCAGGCAGTAGAAGTATAGTTTCACACGTAAAGTATTATCCTACAGAACAGAACAGCTGACAGAGAAGAGACAACATCTGATCCTTTTCCAACACACACTATATGATCTTTTTAGGTTTTTACTAACACTGTAATCCTGCTAGTCATCCCTCCCGTTACATGTAATCCATTACTCCCCTAGCTGGGTATATGTTGTTTTTCCTCCTTCCTGTGAGCCACATAATGAATCCGTGCTTCTGTCATGTAGTCGGCATTCAATAGTTAATTGGAGATGTCAACAAGTTGAACATACAGTGTGTCATTAAAACACAAAGACATGTATAAATCTGAAGCACTGTACTATTCTGTCATTATCATCTGCTCTGTAGTTATCCTGTCTTTACTAAACAGGTTTAGTTAAAAGTGCTTCAAAAATATAATTAACGCCTCTGCCAACTCGCCAAATTGCAGTTTACGTCCATGTTCGTCACTCCATTATTTAATCCTTTTGGACATTTGTGTAAAAATGTCATAATTAGTACATTCATTCTTGCAAGGGCTAGCAACTGGAAGACATAATGAGAACATATTTTAGTCCCCTCTTAAATTTAACTTTAAAGGGGACCTATCATACAAAATGCACTTTGTGATGTATTTTCTACATCAATGTGTCCCCGGTGTGTCAGGGAACTCACGCAGCGTCAGAAAATAAAACCCTCTCTCTTTTCCTCCGTACCCAAATCTCTAAAAACGGGGGTACAACGGAGCTGATCCAGATTTGCGTCCGATATGACGTAATATCTGAAATGTGGACCCACGGCCCAATCAGAAACGTTGCTATCAGAAACAATGCCCGACTGTTTTGGACGTAATATGGTCGGTGTTTACATTAGCATCGCTAACACTCAGAGCTAACCTGTACTGGAGAGCATGTGTGTGAAGAAGCAGGAAATAAAAAGGAACTCACCTTGTGGTATAACCGGCAAGAGAGAAAGCCTTTGAGCTCCATACTGTTTCAGAGATAATCCTTGATAATCCATGATATGGCGTTTCATCACGGCAGTATTTAGTTTAGACAGTAGCTGCCGGGTCCCGCATGAGCTCAGACCCCTCCTTTTTTATTTTTTATCAATTTTTTTAAAGCTTTATACCCCAAATCAGCACTTTTGAAACAGGAAGTGAAATAGAGGGATATGAGGCATGGCTAGAATGGGTGATCTGTTTGGTATTTTGAGCAAAACACTTCATAGACATGTTTTTTATATATTTGTATATATCTGAGACCTATGCTATTGCCTACAAATAGCATGATAGGTGACCTTTAAATATATTAGTGTTTACATTTGTTATTTTTGTTTTTTGGTTGCTTTTTAGATTGTTTGTTTTGTTTTACCTACACTTTATGTGAAAACACGAGTTGTATTCCTTTGTTTACTGCAGTAACATAGCGACATCACTATGCTAAGGGGCGGGACATCTCTAAGCGGTTGACCAATCAGAGCAGACAGAGACAGAGGGTGAAAAGTAGAGGCACAAAATACTAATATGAACCTGAAAATGAGCAGAATATGTCCTCTTTAAAGAAATTATCTTCAATACAAGTGTTTCCCAAGATTTACGGGATGCTGCAAGCCATGGATGCAACCAGAATATTGACCAAAAAATGATATTATGGGAGACCTGCAATACCCCGGGACTCAATCTGACCTACAAAGCAAATGCAGAAGCCCCAGAAGACATCATAATAAATCACATCCGGCTATTAGATTTGACAATTTCTCTTTTGTTGGCACCACCACGTGGAAAAGGCGTCTCCTCTGTGAGACACAAGGAGCACAGGAAGCAGCAGTTCAAGGTAACGTATGGAGGAGAGGTTAGAAAAAAGTGAAGTAGAAAAATAAAGAGAGGCGGACAAAGGCAGCCAATGACAGCCTGTCCTTGTGCTGCTGAATGGCCTCAGTTCCCTTGGTTACATGTTAGCAGGATGTCAAAGTACAGAGTGTCTGCTCTCTGTATTATGAACTACAGAAGGGACGTCATACAGGACACCTTTTTGAATTTGTTTTACAGTGGCACAACCTCATGAATTATATACATGGTTGATAGACGGCTCTTTAGCAGCAGAGCAGGCTGAATTCCCAGGAGGAAACTAATCGAAGACATTGATTTCCTAAATACAAAAGAGGCCAACAGCTTCAGGCTTGGCAACTGACGCCTTTAATTCACTCGTCACTTGAGAATAAAACTTGTATGCGTGAAACTAAAAGCTTGAGGGTTAAATGAGTTCAGACGCACAGAGAAATCCCTTTCTGAAGTCTCTACGAGAAGATGAAGAGGAATTTCAACCAAAGATTTTTTTTAAAATAAGTCCCAAATTGTGTAGGAGACTATCAAATATCAATATAAACTGATAATTGACACGTCTTTCAACTGTAAAATGTCTTTAAAAATCACATTAAATAACCAAATACAAAAGGTTAACTGTCAGTAAACTAATACGAGTTTTGCTAAAAATGGTGGTGCATTCCCAGGATCAAAAAGAGACATCCTCATGTGACGCTCGCACTCCTATTGGCTAGCGCTCCAACACATTGTACTGTACGTGACATCTCTAAGCGGTTGACCAATCACAACAGAGCTGGCCAGCTAACCAATCAGAGCAGACTGGGCGCAGGAGAGACTATATCTGAGATAATTCTTCTTGGATGTTCACAATGCATAATGCTGAGATAAACCCCAGGCTGCGTAACGCCCCCTGCTGTTCAGGTGAGTTTCCTACCTGTCTGAGGATGAAGCTGGTGGAGGTGGTGCTGCCGTCAGACCTCTTCAGGCGGCTGCGTCTGGAGAACGTCCCTCTGTTACCCTGGAGAGCACAAAACACAAACAACCCTTTTTATTTTCTGTTTTTCTGATCCTATTTCTGCTTTCATTACTATATTTATCCCTAACTCTCTTCCACACTAAGTCAAGGTCACCTTTCCTGCAGCAAACTCCATTGTTGTTGCTGCCTGTCTGCTTTATTAAACCAAACAACATACATATAATGCATCAATATATAGGTAGGTAGGTAGGTAGGTAGGTAGGTAGGTAGGTAGGTAGGTAGGTAGGTAGGTAGGTAGGTAGGTAGGTAGGTAGGTAGGTAGGTAGGTAGGTAGGTAGGTAGGTAGGTAGGTAGGTAGGTAGGTAGGTAGGTAGGTAGGTAGGTAGGTAGGTAGATAGATAGATAGATAGATAGGTAGGTAGGTAGGTAGGTATGATACATTAGAAAATACATGTACCATAAATGATACACAATATAAAATGTTCTTGATACGTTAACATGTTCTATGAAAGACCGATATACTACAGCAACAAAAATATAGACATATATTACATTAAAATAGATATATATTACAGAACATCAACGTTGCTAACCCCCACTTAGAGTGACCCATTTTTATATGAAGCCAATTTGTCTCAGCTCTTGAGAAACAAATGAGGCGACACTTCACCTGAGACGGGGGAGCAGGGGAGGAATATGATAAATGACATGACAGATTTTCACACTACAGTACGTGAGGCATTGTGTCGTCCTGTGACCTTGGAGAATCTGGGGTAAGTGGATGCATCCTTCTTCCTTCTGCTGCTCACCTTGAATGATGACTCATGATGACATCAAAAACCCTGAAGAAATCCTACTTTTTCTGGATGTTTTGTTCTTTATTTCTTTGCTTTAAATGTCAAATATTTAAATAGTAAAAAGTAGTTGTCAACAAATCTCGAGTCAAATAACTAATCGATGAATTTACCTTTGGGATTCGCTGCTTTCTGCTTTATTTACTGACGGGTTTACAGTTGAAATGATGAGTCAATTTACAAATAAGTCAATGAAAAGAAAATCTTTTTTGATAATCAACTAATTGTTTTGTGTTTAGTTACTAAAATGCTAGACATTTGCTAGTTTCAATTTGCACTGTTGTCTCAGTCATTGCTGTTTTTCTTTGAGATAGGTGATAGTAAATACAAATCATTAGATGTTGGAGTCAAATAAAACATGATATTCAAAGGCCATATTAATTTTGGACATTTCAAAGAAAGGTAAATGTAGAAAATAGTTGTCAAATGCAGCCTTAAAGGTAGGGTAGGTAAGTTTGAGAAACCGGCTCGAGTGCGCTAGAATTTGAAAATACACAACCGGAGAAAATCTGCCACTTCCTTATAGAGCCCCTCCTCCAACACACACGAACGCGCACATGACCAATGAGGGCACGAGATAAGTTTGTGCACAGATGGAAGGCTGACAGGCAGGTAGGCCATCCAGTTATTTTAGCCGGGCCGGCTCAGATGATTGGTCGTGCTTTTTACAGTACTACGGCTTCCACAGATGACATTTTTTTATGGATTTTTTGTCAAAGCACTTAAGATATTCATTGCTATCGGGATGTTAAGAGCATTCCATGGAATATAACAAAAAGTGTATCTCGAGCCGGTTTCTCAAACTTACCTACCCCACCTTTAAATATAATATATTGACTGATTCTGTGGGATTATATCAATGTGTAAACCATCAGAGATTCCATCATTCGTTAGTTGCAATCCCTTTAATATTTCTTGTTGTATCAACTATCTATATAAGTAAATCTGTAAAAAAAATGCGCATGCGTTGAAGGACACTGACAGCCAAAGTACTGATTCATAGATGTATAAATTACAGCCCTGTTCAGTATCAATAATGTTTATTAAATGATACTCCAGTGCAAAAAAGTCCATCTATATTCCCTACTTCCTCATGCAGCATCAGTAGAAATCCATCAGAACATGCTTAATAATTAAGAACCCGATTTAATTTCCTTTTGAATAAATCAAACTCTCCCCATACTGCAGGACCTGTATTTGATTAACGATGACCCCTCGAGGCTCGTTAGGAGTGATGAAAAAAGCAGCTTCAGTGAAACAGAGGGCAGCACGATGCGTTCACTGTCTCTGTGGGGGTCACTGTTCATTTCTTTAAATCAATGAGTGTAAATCAAGAGGTCAATAATGTCAGGGAATAATTTCCATAGATGGTTGCCCCGGGCAACTCTCTGTCAGAGGTAGTTATTGTTGTGGGACACCTGGAACACATCCTTCTCGGGGTGTAGATGACCCCGAGCCATAAGCGACAACAAATGTGATTCAGTGTCCCTCAGCTGTTTAGTCTATCTATTGAAGAATGTTGATTAATACACTCTGAACTAGTTAAAACGTCGAACTACAGGAGGGTGCTTCAGAATTGATTGTGGCATCTCAACCGTGTGGTCAGACCACAATCTCAATTCCGTGACATGTCGTGTGAATTCTCCGGCCGAAGCTCCAAATAAACCGTCAGTGTTTGCCATCAAAGCTCCAGCTCTCCTTGTGTCTCTCTCTGAGTCCTGACTCCAATTGCTTCAGAAGTTTCCCCCACAAATAACCTATTGACCTCTAACACTGTTTTTCCTATCAATATTAGGAGATGTTCACAAGATGTGTTTGTTTTCTATCAGGACTTTAGGTCTCTAATTATACCTTGCATTTCAAAATTGTAACTTGTGTCATGCTTATCTTTAATATTTTATGCATTATTCTTAATTAATATTAAGCTATTTTTAGCTCTTTACTTCTGCTGTAACAATGGAAACGTCCCCTCTGTGGGAGAATATAGGTTTTCTCTGAACTAGAAGACCGTAAGAAAGATGTTCATAAGATGTGTTGTTTTCCTATAAGACTCTTATCACGCTATTTTCTTATCAATATTAGGACTCTCATGTTATTTTGCATTAAAAAATAAGAGAGATTTTCACAAAATGTCTTGTTTTCCTATATTAGGACTCTCCTGTATATATATGTTACTCTTATGTTATTTTGCATTAAAAACAACTAGAAGACAGTAAGAGAGATTTAAGACGTGTTTCTTCCCTATCAATATAAGGACTCTCATGTTATTTTGCATTAAAAATAAGAGACATTTTCACACAATCTGCTGTTTTCCTATCAATATTAGTACTCCTAATCTGCGTTAAAACAACTAGAAGACAGTAGGACAGATTTCCATAATGCTGCTGTCGTCCTACCTGGAACACGGGCTTCTGCATCCCTTCTCCTATCCCGTGTCGGGTGTAGATGTGCCGGGACATCTCCGCCAGTTCATCGGTCCAGGGAGGGGGCTGCCTCTCGGTTCCTCCCCACTGGAAGTGCTGCTGCTCCGGGGGAGGAGGAGGCCGGTGCACCGCCGCCTCCAGCTTGGCTCCGGTTCCTCTTCACGACAACAGGGGAGAGAAAAGATGCGTCCCGGTGACAGTCTGCGGAGATTCTGCACGGATGAAGAGCCCCGCAGATCAGAGCGACCACAGATACTCCCCCCCCTCCTTCACCTTCACTGTTCACTCCCATCCAACTAGGCTTTAATGGTGCTGCGTTCAAGGACAATGCAGACTTTTCAGTGTTGCAACTTGAGATGCGCATCCTAGGTTGACAATTGTGAAAATCAAGACTTCACCCTCAACATATCACTGCTTTAACCCTTAAATAAGCAATGAGATATCAATATTATGTTATGTACAACTAATTGATGGCTATTTATCTAACTTAAGATACGCATCCACGGTTGACAATTATGAAAATGAAAGTATTTTCTTAAAAATTCAGCCTCAATCTATCCCTTAAATGTCCAATGACATAAATATTATGTACAACTAATTGATTGCAATTTTCTACATTACACTGTTTTTTAAAAACCCATATTAATACACCTCTATAAATGCCCTGTTTCACTGTAATTACATCCAAATGACTCCGTTAGTACACCCATGGTATAGCCTACCATTGGTGTTACCCATGTTAAAACGTATTATACCAATATTATACCCATGTAACACTGTAATGACACCCATTTTCCACAAGTGTAATCACATCCTTATTGCACTGTTATTGGAACTCATTTTACACATTAATACATCCCTATTAAAGCCCTATTGCTCCGTTATTACACCCAAATGACACTGTATGTATATATATATATGTATTAATGAACATGGTATTTGAACGTTTTTCTTTTATCTTACAGTTTATTTTGTTTTCCTAGATTTTGAACGAGCAGCTTTTGAAGGCAGCATAATTCAAATATCCTTGTTGTGTATATATTCCTAAAAACACAACACATAAGAAAACTTTAAATGAACAAATAGTTTAAAAAAAACAATAATATAGAAAAATGTAATAGGCTATCTTAAAAATAAATGTAATCTTAATAGTATGTGGCCCTTTTAAACATTATTTACGATGGCATTAAACAATTTAAATGGTAAATAGATCATATGCAAACATATATCAAGTATAATATATATATTACAGTATTTCACGTCTAATCGAATAGCCCAGAACAATAACTTTCTACTGACTTATTGCTGTGTTTCTCGCCTAAAAATAAAACAGGCCGGTTTTATCTCAGAAAGGGAAGTAGGACAAACAACAGATGATAACATCTCCTGTCGTGCTCAGCAGACAGCCCTACCAGCTGTGCTTTCCTAAAGAACAGCCTGCAGTGTGTGACTTTCAACGTTTTATTAAAGAGAGGACTTTTAGACCTGCATTTTGCCACCACAATAACACTGGCATTTAGAGAATGACCCACGCACCCTTTTGAGAAGTACAAGGGCAGAAACTATAAAAAGGCCAAGTGCAATGAATAAATCATACCTTCTGACAAACGGTCGTATTATTATCTTGTTCACAGACAGCTGGTGAAGTGTGCAGGGAAAAGAAGAGAATAATTAGTTCCACAGTTTCTATTTTTATCTTCTTCCTCTTAATTGTATAAATGTAATTACTTGAAGAGGCTCTTCAGGGTTTTTTCAGTGTGCCATTTCAAATTTTCTGCATATAAATGGAGCAGTGACATCACTATGTAACACTCACGCTTCTATTGGCTAGCGCTCCAACACATTGTGATAGGCGAAGAGGCAGCCAGAGAGCCGGCCAGCTAGCCAATCAGAGCAGACTGGGCTCTGGTTTCAGACAGAGGGTGAAAAGAGGTGCTGCAGCACAGGCAGCATGAGGAACATTAAGAGCTTTTTGAACATTAAAGCATGGAGACATGTCCCAGTAGAGACACTACATACTGATATACACCTGAACATCAGCAGGAGAGAACTCTTTAAAGTAGAGACACTACATACTGATATACACCTGAACATCAGCAGGAGAGGACTCTTTAAAGTAGAGACACTACATACTGATATACACCTGAACATCAGCAGGAGAGGACTCTTTAAAGTAGAGACACTACATACTGATATACACCTGAACATCAGCAGGAGAGGACTCTTTAAAGTAGAGACACTACATACTGATATACACCTGAACATCAGCAGGAGAGGACTCTTTAAAGTAGAGACACTACATACTGATATACACCTGAACATCAGCAGGAGAGGACTCTTTAAAGTAGAGACACTACATACTGATATACACCTGAACATCAGCAGGAGAGGACTCTTTAAAGTAGAGACACTAAATACTGATATACACCTGAACATCAGCAGGAGAGGACTCTTTAAAGTAGAGACACTACATACTGATATACACCTGAACATCAGCAGGAGAGGACTCTTTAAAGTAGAGACACTACATACTGATATACACCTGAACATCAGCAGGAGAGGACTCTTTAAAGTAGAGACACTACATACTGATATACACCTGAACATCAGCAGGAGAGGACTCTTTAAAGTAGAGACACTACATACTGATATACACCTGAACATCAGCAGGAGAGGACTCTTTAAAGTAGAGACACTACATACTGATATACACCTGAACATCAGCAGGAGAGGACTCTTTAAAGTAGAGACACTACATACTGATATACACCTGAACATCAGCAGGAGAGGACTCTTTAAAGTAGAGACACTACATACTGATATACACCTGAACATCAGCAGGAGAGGACTCTTTAAAGAAATTCTCTTCAGGTGTTCCCAAGATGTATGGGATGTCGCCAGTGCAGAGAGATAAATAAACAGAATATTGACCCAAAAATGATATGATGCGAGACCTGCAATACCCCGGGACTCTCCTAATCTCCTCAAAGCATGGAGACATGTCACAGTAGAGGTAAGAGAAAAAAACATGAAACCTGAGAATGAGCATCCACAGGGAAATGTAAAAAGACCACCCTTCACAGGTACATTTCTTTTTATTTCAAAGAATATTATACATTTTGCTCCGTTTAAAAAAGCAGTTTTTAAAATCCTGGATAAAGGAACTTTTCCTGGAATCTTTTTAAATATACAGAATTATACATCTGAGACTGAAGTGACTCGCCGAACGTGTGTCCATGTCATCCTTTGATTTCTACAGAAAAACAAGGCATCCAGTGGTAAATAAATGTTTACAAAGCTAAGGTGCAATGTCAATGCCACCGTCCAAACACCAGGTATTTTACAACTAATATACAATGCCTTTTACTATGAGGCGCGTCAAGCAAATATAGACAGTTTTGGCTAGAAATTATAACCATGGAGCTACTGCAATATACATGACTGTAGATTTAATGAAAGCAGCTCCTTCATTTTAACCCCCAAAACAAACCAACAGTAGGTTCAAAACATCACCTTTTTTTATATTAACAGCAACTAGAAAATTGTCCCATTTACAGTTTGCTGGAAAATTTAAGTAAGCAAGAGTTAGAATAATAATTACACATTCTCCAGCCATGTAAAGTATACATGTATAAGGGTCTCAATATATATATATAAATCAAAAGGACAGGCCATGACGATTTAGAAATTAGATGAAAAAGTGAGTATTTGCATAAAATAAAGTCCTAACGTGTTTCTGATGAATGCAAGAGACCCCACACATGAAGATGAGGCAGGAAGGTATTAACGTGAGAATTATAACCATATGCACACAAACAATTAACTATTTCACCCTAAAATCTGATGATCCTTGTGAAAATCATTTTACAACGATGAACCCATTATGGTTAAGCCATCGAAACAAACAAACAAATATGTCACACACACAAAAACGTGCTTTTAAATATGTCAAATGCAACCAGATTGCATTGCAAGGCAGTGAGTTGAGGTCTTTTTTTTTTTTAACCATTTAGACAAATATAAGTGTTAATGTAGGACAGTTGAACATATAGTTGGTACTTCTGTTCAAAACACAGATCAGCGTTAGTGATGGATGCTGGTGATGAAGAGAAATATGGAGCTCCTGCCTTTTTAACTAATTCATCCTAAAGCAAAATGTATTAACAGCTCATAAGTGTTTCCATCTTTGAAAAGGGACAAAGAGATGCTCAGAGTGAAGTGTCCCTGCCGTCTGACTTAGAAACAACATGATGGCAAGACAAACAGAACATTTAGGCCATGTTCACATTAATGCAGACACATTTGAAAATGATGTTCAGGCATCAAATGGGATCCAATGCACACTAGCTAGAGAACTAGAGCTTTCCTTTTGCCATCCCTAAATACATTTTTAAGAGCGTTTTTTAGGATAGTTCTGCATTTTCTCGTCTTGCAGGCTCACTATAATGCACACGTTTCTGTCTCACAAGCATCTCACGGACAGATAGGCTTCAGTTTGAATCCAACAGGCTGCTCAAAGGCTAGCGCTAAGACTCACGTTTCACTAGTTGATCACATACAGAGCTCCTTTTTTAGTAATGTATATCGTAGCGTGTATTTAGCTTTATTGGTTGCCTAAAGCATTTGAATTGAAAACAGTATGGTGGCAGAAAATATCAAATGATTTAGTTAATTGGGAAAGTAGATAAAGAACCTTTTTTCGTATTTATCTTCATTAGTGTGGACCTTTTTTTTTTGCTAACCCAAAACGGACACGTTGTGTGAATTCTTCGAAGCGGGGTCCATTCAAAAATAACAATTTTGGGGAGTAGCGTTGTGTTGAAAAATGCTAATTTCTTAGCATTATGCTCATAACATGGTCCTGTTTTGGTGGCAACTCTTCTTCCATGTTGACCTGCGATGTGTTCACTGTTAGCCAGGAAAAAGGAGCATTGTAAGAGAGAGAGGAGAAATCTCCCGACGTCATGTTCAGCCTCATGCACACACACACAGTGTCCTGATGAACAGCAGACCTGCGTCACACACACACACCTCAGGTATTTCTGTCTCGAATGGTGTGTTTAACTCAGCTCATCAGGCACAACAATGTCTAAAGGAATGTCCCTAAAGCCGTTACCACACACACACACACACTCACACACACTCACACACACACTCACACAAGGCAAGACAAACGAACACACCACTGGAAACAGAAATATCCAAAGTGTGTGTTGTGTTCAGGTCTGCGGTGTGTCGGAGTTTTAGAGCAGAGGCTGCTGATAGTACGCCTGCTGCTGCTGCTGCTGCTGCTGCTGCTGCTGCTGCTGGGGAGCCTGGTGGGGGGGGGGGCGCCACAGGGTAGGACCCCGGAGGCATGCTGGAGTTGTGATAGGTCGACATGTCCATGGCCACGCCCCCCTGGTGCGGGTAGGGAACCTGGTTCATGTACTGAGCGTTCATACCACTGCTGGAAGAAAAACACAGAAATGACGATTAGAACCAACAGCGAAACACAACCATGACAAATACGATACGATAATACTTTAAATGGTCAGATCAAGTCTGAAATTTGACTTGGATCACATCAACAAATATCAAGACACAATACATGACAAACAAACAACAAGCATTTAACATAACAGCACGATCACTGAGAGAAAAGCTGCTCAAAGAGCCTTCAGCGAGAGGACAGACTGGAGCACAGAGGATGCTTCAGTCTGACTTCCCAATTAGAAGATTGTAAATGTGAAAGATCTAAGTTGCCAACTTTATTATTAATATTAGAATAGAATAGAAGAATGTATTGTCATTATAAAAGTACAACGAGAAGAGTAAAGCTACTCCTTTTAAGGTGCCATCAAAACATTCAGAAAAGACAACATTCATATTATGAGACTTTCTGCAGAGCTTCTACTCCGTTATCCTTTCGGGTCCTGCTTACAGTGATTGTTATGTGTTAGAAAAATATCACTTGTCCCCAGTGGCGAGCCGTGACTTTTATACCTAGGCCCTCTGACCCCCAGCCCTTCCCTCGAAAAAAAGAAGAAAAAAGAGTTTTACGTCACAGCGTGTACTTCAGCAGAATCTCAAAACAACGGCCCGGGGTGCAAAACGCATCAATGACAGCGACCCTCGACCACACAAAACAACACCTGTAAATAACCCAATTTGTGTTCTTTGAAATTGAAAAGGATATTCAATTTCAGAGAGGGCCTAGAGGGCCTAGAGGGCCCTGACGGCTCGCCACTGCTTGTCCCCGGCTTGAGCTTCAATCTCAGGATCCATGTATTTATTATCCTCTCAAGAATGGAAGTAGTCATCACACACAGAGCATCAACTAGTTCCTGAACAGTGTCCTTCACATGCTGATATCCAAGAGAGGGAGTTACACAGTCACAAGATGGAGGAATACCAGTTCTTAGGTAATCATACATCCTGTCATGTACAACATTTTTCTCAAAATGTTGGCTTTTTTCTCAAAATGTTGGTTTTTTTCTCAAAATCTCAAAATTCGGACTTTTTTGCAAAATTCAGACTTTCTCATAAAATTCTGACTTTCGCAAAATCTCATATTTCTGACTTTCTCCTAAAAATTCTGACTTTTTCTAAAAATTCAGATTTTTTTCTCATAATTCTGATTTGTTCTCAAAAATTCGGACTTTCGCAAAATTCAGACTTTTTCTCAAAATCTCAAAATTCGGACTTTCACAAAATACGGACTTTTTCGCAAAATTCAGATTTTTTCTCATAATTCAGACTTTTGCAAAATACGGCCTTTTTCTCAAAATCTCAAAATTCCTGATGCTCTTCTAGGTAATCATACATCCTGTCATGTACACAGCTACAGTTGGGATACCTTTGTTATCATGTGGACTCTGATATTGGAAGAGGACATTCACTATTATTTCCCCAACAATATGTTTTCTTACCTCATGTAGGGAGGCTGAGCAGCTTGGCAGTTGGGGGGGGCGGAGACGTTGGGGGGCAGCGAGTGCAGTTGTCCGGGCTGGTCGCTGGGCAGAGAGTAGGTCTGCAGAGGAGGACCCTGAGGCATCGCAGGGGGCATGTAGGGGCCGCCAGCCGGGCCCATGTAGCCCTGAGCAGATCACAAGATAAGATAAGACAAGATGGACCTTCAAGTTTCAAGGCTTTTATTGTCATGTGTGCATAGCTAGTGTAGATATGTCAATGAAAATCTTAGGTCACAGGCTCCTCCAACAGTGCAACACAATAAAACAGATAATAGTGCAAGTAATACAAATAAAATAGAATAGTGCAAGGAGAGTCTATATACAAGTAATTGGAATATTGATATATTAGATAAATAATTTGTAAGTTGCAAACAGATGAATGTTATGGATGTTCATTGATCCTCGTAGGGACATTCAGGTTTCATGGCAGCAGCAGAATAAGAAACAAACAGAGATAGTACACATGGAATATACACGGGCATAATTAGAATATTACATTACATTTAGCTGACGCTTTTATCCAAAGCGACTTACAATTACAGGGACATTCTCCCTGGAGTAACTAAAGGCTAAGTGCCTTACTCAAGGGCACACTAGTAGTGGTGATCCAGGCAGGATTTGAACTCACAACCTTCCGATCTTCAGCCCACCTCACTATCCATTAGACCACCAGTACCCAAATATATATAACATGTTTTAACGATATGAATAGAGGGGGGAACGGGGAGGAGGACGGCTTTAATAAGTGCTGAGAGAGTTAGTAATATCACAATTATGTTTTTGGGGAAAAATATGTAAAAAGAGGGATTCATAAGGGTCTAAGAATCATTTACAAAGTGGGAAAAAAATGCACCTTAGTCAGTTTTACATCTGTTTTGGGGAGGTAGTATCTATATGGTCGCTAGTTCAAGTCCCAATCGGACCTAACTAACCTAGCTGGGAAATGTCGAGGGGTCCTTGAGCAAGGCACGGATTTGATAAACTCCCACGCAAATCCTACAGTTTAATCAATGTCTCATTTATCATGTGCTCACTAACTCCCAATCACATTCATAAGTAAGAAATTACAAGTAGGTAACAGAAATCTCTTTACTGACACTATTGTAAAAGCGCTAAAGCCCAAATTCTTATCGTTTTAGGAATCTAAGAGAATGTCAGAGCTTAGAAATCCAGAGTTTTTTTTCTCCATTTCCTCAGTAAGTTAATATCTGTCTCTGTCCCAGGATGAGCCTAGCAACACTAATAAAGGAGGAGTTGATTATTGTTTGTATTTTGTCCAAAACAAATTCTAGCTACTGGGATATAGCTACAGAATGTAAGATATTACACCACCTGGTTGCTGTTAAAGTGCAGACTGTTACAGAAAGTCAGGAGGTGTTACTGGCAGGGTTCATACACTTTTTCACCAATGATTTTCCATGACTTCTCCATGACCTTTACCTAATTTTCCATGACCAAAAACATTACTCTCTCAGCGGTACCACTGAAAATGGTTTATTTTAACATGGAACAGGAAAATAAGGTCTGAAACATGTTGTGCCTATCTAAAACAAATCAAATAGGCTTACTAGCTTCTACACGCTAAAGCAACTCAAATCTCTCACCAGCAAAATACCTCGTCAGTTAAATGCCATTTTACGTTTCATTACTATACGATACAGTATTTATTATCATTATAGTATTACTATTTTGGCGATTAGATAAAATATAAATTATATTTGATGCAACTTTAGTTACATTTCCATGACTTTTCCAAAACTATGGGAAAAATATTGTTTTCCATAACTTTTCCAGGGCCTGGAATTATCATTTTGAATTTCCATGACTTTTCCAGGTTTTTATTGACCGTAAGAACCCTGTACTGGGTAAAGTACCAGGTTTGTTCTTCTGCAGTTTTATGTACTTGTGTTTACAAAAAATCCATGTCACTGCAGGCGCAATAACAAACTGGTATTTCAGAGTACTCTGCAGAAAAAATAAAGATGAAGGAGAAAAGAACAACGACAACAAAAACTGGAGCAGCACTCTGGTGTGGGCCTGGCCAGCGAAGTGGACATTTTTCTAAATCTCAGAGGAGAGACAGTGGCATCAATCATTACAGAGAAAACAGCCACCGAGAGAACTCCAGGGAGGAGGAAAGGCTGACTGGATGTCAGGCCATCAAGAAGCATAAAAAACCAACTGCTTCGCTGGCCAAATATAACACAAGTGTAGGATGTGAGGAATAAAATATGACATTAATAGCAAGATATAATCACCGTGTCTCTGCTCGGAGTGATTTCCTCTACATTAGTGCTCTTTTGTCTCAAATCATATCAAGAAATCGAAAAAGTGAGAGTGTACTCTGATGTTTAATATGAAGAGAACTGGTGGGTGGGCACTCAGTTTGTCAACAACCTGTCTCTTCTTTAACTCTTAAATCTCTCCAGCCTTCAGTCTTGTAAACTGTTTACCAACCTCTGACTGAACCCATCGATAAATAATGCATGACTTGTTTTGTATCGACTCGACACGCTTAACATGACAGAGAAATATGACCAGAGCAGAACAAGCATGTTTCAAATAATTTGATCTGAAGTTGCATCACTGTATGAGGTAAGTCAGTAATTTGCCAACCTTAATTCACCATGAGTGGCATTTCAATTAGACTGGAGACCTGCCGTTTAATTAGCCTTCGTGATTCAGTTGATTTAGAAAAACACCTTGAACCATATGCATCTTGCTAAGGAAGAATCCAGCTCTTTGGAGATCTTTAAAAACCTTCCTTTTGTTATAAAATCCTCTTCATATCCAGTTTGGAAACCATGCTGATGTAGACAGTAGACATACATGTGGATATACAGTCTACAATTGATTGTGTGCTGCTGTTATGTGATTGATTTAGAAAGGTAGTTTTAATGCAAAGGTAAAATGCATTTACTGCTGAAAATGTGTGCGAATGCTGTAAACTGTGAACATTTGTTGCTGAATTTAGCTGAAAATGCAGAAAAAGCTGAATATTTGATTAGCTGATGGTCTCTGTAGCTGCTTTTAGCTACAAAAACCAAGTAAGTGTGTTGCTGAACTTAGCGGAGAAATGCAGAAAAGTGAAATGATTTGAATCAAAATTGTTACAGCTCAAATGCATTGCAATGACAGTGAAATGTTAAACTGGAAGAGTAGGAAAAATAGTGAAGAAGCTTAATATTCAAAAGATAATGTTTTAAAAGGTATAAACAACAAAATGTATAGCCTCAATGTCCTGAAATAGCTGAATAAGTTAAATGTTGAATGGTTTCTGTAGCTGAAAGTAGGCTGAAGGAGTTAGATATTAAATGTGAGTAGTAGTGAATTAATGTGTATTAAGAAGAGAAAATAAAGTAAAAACGCTTTGAAAAGCAGCAGAATATTTGAACTGCAAACTTTTGAACTAACTTGATGGCGAGTGATCTGTCGCCATGGCAACGGCATTTGATGAAACCCCATAATACGCGTAGATGTGTTGATGGCTGCATCGTTACCAAACCTGTGAAGTTTTGGGCCGTTTGGAACATTTTCACTGAAGTTATGAGAAAACCGTGTTGCCATGGCAACGGAATTTGAAGAAATCTCAAAACTGTCAAGTAGATGTCTTCACGGCTGGACTGTTAGCACACATGTGAAGTTGGAGCACTTTTTGACAATTTTCATAGGAGTTATAGCAATATCGTGTTTTATGGCGAGGGATGTTGCCATGGCAACAGCTTTTGAGGAAAACTCACTATTGGCACATATACCCCTTTCACACCAACGCAACTCCGGTTCAAGCTCCGTGCTAGAGCTTTTCAGGTTCAGAACCGGTACTTCGGTTTAGCTCCGGCTCTTTTCACACCGCTCAGAGCCCGACTGGTGCTGCCGCTGCTGCGTCATGACGTCACAGTTTACGTCGCTGATTTTCTCCCCAACGGAGCTCACCTCACAACAACAACGGGCCGGGGACTGCGTTGCTTTTAATCATACGAAGCCAGATTAAATTAAATAACGACTTCTCCAACCTTATACTTTTCTCCAGAGTGCCGTGGTTCATTGTTTATTAATGTGTTTCAGCGGCATTTACCGACCGCTGCAGTGCTGCTGCTCTTCCACGGGAGTTTATTCTCCCGTTAGCTCCGGGTTAGCTCACACGGCTCTAAAGTATTCACTGTCTGACTGTCACACAAGCAGCTGATACATATCCCCAGTTCCCCTTAAGTGAATGTGTGTCAGTCTGAATTGACGCTGTTTGGCATCACAACGCTGTTATGAAAGTTTCTCTGGTATAACATGGGTGATGTTAGCATAGCAACCGAAGCTAAACTGACTACTTGCTAAGCCGTTTTCTCCAGGCACTTTTTACCGACGTATTTTTCATTATGATTCTACTTGTGATAGTCGGACATGACAATCTGTGCAGCCCATGTATTGATTCCATCCGATAGCTGCTATAATAACAAACAAAACGTCTGCCTGCTCTCCACAATGACCAATAACAGCGAACGGATGGTCAAAGTAAGGTACAAATAAACAGAATCACACGAAGCCTGGTTAGTGTTGCCTGACTTTATAAAGTGTGTTTTTTTTTTAACAAGTGTGTGGTTGCGTTCTAGTCACTTTGCTCAGCACTACTGCTTGTTACAACTTTTATTTGCCGTACTCGCCTTAACTGTTAGCTCAGGTTAATCTCGCCCCCCTCCGACGTAAGCGTGACGTATGCGGTTCTTGCTTCTAGACGGACAACTTTTTGGTGCTCGAAACGAACCGGATTCCGGAGCTTAGAGGCTGCTCCGCTGCGGTGTGAACAGGAAAACCCGGTGCTTTTCAAGCACCAGCACCGAACCGGCCCCGAAACACCGTTGGTGTGAATGGGGTAATAGACATGTTGAGGGCTGGACCATTAACCATTATCTGAAGTCTGGTGCTGTTTTAATCCTTTTCATAGGCGTTACGACAACATCGTGTTTCATGGCGAGGGATGCGTTTCCATGGAAACGGCATATGGTGAGATGTCAGATTTGACGTAGAGCTGTTGAGGCATGGACCGGTGATATACAGGTGAAGATTGGGGGACGATCGGACCGTGTCCATTGGAGTTACAGCGACATCGTGTTTTATGGCGAGGGATGCGTTGCCATGGTAACACCACATTATGTAACATCAGATTTGACCGAGCTGTTCAGGGCCACAGTGTTAACCATCATGTGATGTTTGGTGGCGTTCTGAGCATGTCAGTTGGAGTTATGACATCATCACACAGGTGTTTGTGTTTGAGCTAACGACATTATGAAACACCTGTGCTTGAGCTCAGAGATCAAAGGTTTCCATGGTGATGTGCAGTAATCAGTGAGAGGAGAGCCTTTACATTGTTCTGAATGAGAGATAAACCTCTTACATGTGAACGTTTTGTTGAAGAACCGTAACAGATATCGGTGAAATGTCAACGCGCGAAGCGTCTCAGGACCCTGACGAGCGTCTGAGTCTGCTTTTTGTGTACTTTCGGGTCAATAATGTAGCCTTTTTGGCAGATTAACTAAAGGTGTGCGGCTGCTGCTGTGAAGAAAGATCAGGCTGTATTTACAATTGGCCTTAATGGAGACATGTTGAAAGTTTTTGTGACTTCATGCCCTCAAGAGGCATTTTGTTGAATTATTTTGTTGAATTTTTCAAGAGGTTTTCCTACGTTTTTCATGAAAAATGATGTCCCAGGAGAGTAGGGTTTGGGAATTATGGCAAGTTTTAAAAATAATATGAAGGCGAATTTCAAGCTGTCCCCCACTCTAGCTGTGACATCACGCACTCTAGACTTAACGAGCTGCTCAATACACACTCATGTTAAAATCTGAAGAAGGCCTCTTTACCAAGCTCCAAACTAAGTTAAATATCTCAAAAAGTGTAAAAGATATGAAAAATCTGAAGAACACGTTTTATAGCTGAAGGTCTTGTGATCATTTTAAAGTTGGAATGAAGTCTCTAGCTGGAAGTATGTGGAAGGAGTAGCATTTGGCGCAAGGTGTAGGTAAAAGAGGATTTGAAGGTTCTTCCCATTGAGTTACATGTTAAAAAAAGAGTTTAAAAAGCTGAATATTTCAAAAAGGTATAAAATATTTTGAAAAAGTTGAAAGTTTCCCATCATGTGCTGAAAAGGCTGAACATTTCGAATGTTGCACAGCATTCCACTAATAAACGACATGGGTGAGTATCAGTGTATATTCTGCATTTTTCTGACCTGCATAGCAACAGCTGGTCCGGCTGGAGCATACTGCGTCTGCATCTTAGAGTAGGCCGAGTAGAACGGAGCCTCGTTCATCAGCTTGTTGTAAAGCTCCAGCGCCTCCAACACCTTCACATTCAGCTCCGAAAACTCTGAGTGTTTCCTGCAACACAGAGACGCATTCGTTGGATATATTTTTAACAGATCAAGATGCAGACAGATGTCTTTTTAAGTCTCTGCAGCTAAAACAGAATAGTAGTGTTTTACTTCCAAGAAGTTTAAAACTATGTGGATGCCTTTTTTTTTACCTAAGCTAAAAGAATGACCTTCCCAGATATCCTCAAACAGATATAAACAAGACTGTTTGTGTCGTTTTGTTGTCCTTGTAGTTGCAATGTGTTCAGGGTATATGCAGGAATCCTGAAGTCAAATGTCATCCCTTTAAGACCCTTTCCATACATTTTAAGATCTCATCGCCACTTCGAGTTTTAACCGGTTACATTGGCGACACACTTTACCTCACATTTACTATATACAGTATTGATTGTCCTTCCTCCTTATCTTCCAACCATTTGGACGCAGACTTGCATTTCCCCATAACGATGTTGTTTAGCAACCGGCGTAAACGGACCTTCGCACGCTATCAAGCAGTGAGCGTGCGATGTCCTGTTCAGATGACGTCAAATCCAACGGGATGCCGTAAATAAACTACACAGAATCACACTACACACCTACGCAATGATTACATTCAGGCAGACTGTAGAATACAACCTCTTTGGACAATTTATATACTTATTGAAAACAAGCTACCAAATGTAATACCTTGGAAAATACCGTTTAATACTTTTTAATAGCCTTCATTTTCGCTAAATTGATTCATCAACTTTTAATACTTTTTAAGACCCCGCGGACACCCTGGTGTTGTATGTTGTTGTGTTTTGTATTATACTGTCTCCCACAGCCACTTTATCATTGCTGTCATATTGTGAATCAAATAAATATATATAAAAAGATGTCTGATAACGCTACCTGTCAATCTCCTGCAGCTTCTCATCGATCATCGGGTTCATCTGCTCACATGCACCTGTTCACATATTGACAGTGAGGGAGGGAAAGAGCAGTGTTAGAGACATACACTGCTGCTCAGACTGTACAAAGGACTGGATTTGAAGCAGCATTATGGGCTGTACCCTCCAGCTGGATCAGATCCTGGGTGTCAGGAGTGGAATCTGCAGGATCTGCGTTCTGCAGCAGAGCCAGCGTGCTGTCCATCTTCCCCTGAGGACACAAAGAGAGACAGCAGGGTTTAGATTGGTATTGTGATTGAGAAAAGGGATTTGTATCTGCACTGAGGAAAACGTAATACCTCGTCGATGAAGACGGGCTCAGGCTCTGCTCTGGTTTCCAGGCTCGTCTCTTCAGGAGTAGAGGACTTCTCAATAAAAGCCACTGTGGAGCAGAAGGTTGGGTTCAATAAGCAGTTCTGAAACTAATAGAGAGGCGAAGTCCCTCCCTTTCCGGGGGAGCTCCATGGGACCTTATTTCGGAAAAAGTATGTATTGAAGTCAATGGAGAGAGAAAGATTATCTCTCGATCCCGTTTGAATTGAGCCACGAATTACACATATGATGTTTGTCAATTTAAAAGATAATTTTGCAAGTTAAAAAAAAAAAAATGTGTTTTAAAACTGTGAAGTAACACTTTTTTTGTGTGAAACCGCTCAATGAACTACATCTCCCGTCTCGCACCACACACCAAGACGGCCGTCACGTTGGCACATTTCACTTCTTTCTTTCAGAATGAGGCGGAAAGTATTCAAAGAGGTGAAAATCACTCCAAGTCTGGGCATGTTGAGAGCTGTACATACACACAAGGGGAGTTAGTCGGTTCCATAAGAGCCAGCATGCGGGACCGGGATTCTGGGATTTGTAGTCTTTCTAGTTGCGTATTTTTCATAGTCTTATATTTCAACAGTTTTACGACAAACTGTGACTTTTTTTACATGGAAATTATTTTTTAAATTGACAAACATCATATGTGTAATTCGTGGCACAATTCAAACGGGATCGAAAGATACGTTTTCTCTCTCCATTGACTTCAATGCATAATTTTTCCGAAATAAGGTCCCATGGGTCGGAAGTAGATGGGCGGGACTTCGCCTCTCTATTGGCTTCAGTTTTAATGAAATAACACAAAAGCATAGAGGCTAGTATGCTTAAAAAAAAACTACATCATAGGTTGGTGTGCAGCTAAAGGGGGCTACAATGTTCACTTTGAGAATCAGAAGAAAAATAAAGGCCTTTTGAACATTAAAGAATGTAAACATGTCACAGAATACAAATATGAACCTGAAAATGAGCAAATTATGTCATCTTTCTGTTATTGTGCAGCTGAAGGGACTACAATGTTTTTAGAGGGGCTCTATTCTGCACATGTTCAGGTTAAAATGTATGTAGTGTCTCTACTGTGATGTCTCCATGCTTTAATGTTCAAAAAGCTCTTCATTTTTCTCATACTGCCTGTGCTGCAGCCACTCTTTTCACCCTCTGTCTGAAACCAGAGCCCAGTCTGCTCGGATTAGTTAGCTGGCCAGCTCTGTTGTGATTGGTCAACCGCTTAGAGATGTCCCGCCCCTTAGCCTACATATAGCCAGAAACCTATATAACACACCACAGGAAAGGGAAAACCTCAAATAATATGTCCCCTTTAATAAAAAGACCAACCTGTCTCCGGCTCTGCGTTCAGATTGGTTGTGACGAAGTTGGAAGGAAAGAGCCCGACTCCTCTGTGGTTCTCTCCTTTCCACCAGTTTGGATCGCTATGAATAAAACAAGCAAAACATCAAATGCATGAGCCATGCTGAAATTCAGAGCAGTTCAATAACATGAATTCATCATTTTGTAGTCTGCCACTGTACTTATTACTACTTATTATTTAGTTTTATACCCCTTTTATCTAGGCCCTTTTTGTATATATGTCACACTGTGGGACAGCGAGAAACGGTATTTCAAATGTTCTGTATGTATAACACATGTAGAATTCTTGACAATAAAATTGACTTTGACTTTTGGATCTGCAAAAATAAACTGTCCCATTGTATTTGTAGGACAGACTTTACCCCACTAATATGCAATTAAAACAAGTTTAAAATGAAATCAAGATGGTTGTAAAGAATGATATGGCTCTTTCAAACAAACAAAAGCATTAACTCATACATAACATTTACCAGCGTTCTGATATATTTTGATCAATGAATGGAAAACTTTCTTTAGTTATCTCATCAGTAAACTCTACTCACTATAAATAACTTATGTTTAACTGCATCTATCGGTTATCAAATACTGTACAAAAATGATTATGTGGTAAACACATATCTTACAGTTAAAATATGCAAGGTATTTCAGATTTTGAGACATTGTCCGGCAGTGGCTCAGTTAGTAGGGGCGTGGACTGTGAGCCGTAGGGTCGCCGGTTCAAGTCCCCAAACAGACCTAAATATGGAGTGTGGACTGCTACTTGGAGAGGTCCCAGTTCACCTCCTGCCCTGCCGTGGTGCCCCCTTCCCCCCCCCCACTCCCATTGCTCCCCGGGCGCTGTACAATAGCTGCCCACTGCTCCTAGTACTAGACTCCTGGTACTAGGATGGGTTAAATGCAGATAACACATGTCACTGTGTGCTGTGTGCTCTGCATGTGGGACCATTAAAGAGGGGTGCATCCCTCCCATTCTATTATATACAGTATTTCCAGATGTTTTTTGACACCATATCGACTTTCTGAGAGTCATAAAGGTAGGATGTATAACATGGGCGTTGAATTGGAAGAATATACTGTATAAATTGTATCATGATGCTTGTAGGTATCTCATAATATATAATAAATATCACTGAGGAAGTGTGCGACATCAATGGCAGAAACACTGTCCGTTACCTGTCGTCCAAAACCAGAATAAGTTCTCCGGTTTTGAAGGTCAGCTCGTTGTCTTCAGCCGCTTCAAAGTCGTACAGCGCTCGCACCTTCCGGGCCTCCTGCCCCCCGTTGGTGTAGGTCGGGGGGTCAGAGGTCAGGGCCAGGGGTCGCGTCTCCACCTGCTGCTTCTGCTCCTGCAAGGACATCTCGATGGCTGGAGAGGTGGAGGAAGACGAGACAAGAGAAGTTATTATTTGCCCCTTTTGTTTGTTTGTTTGTTTGTTTGTGTGTTTTTCCACCATGTAAAGCGGCCTTGGGTCCCTTGAAAGGCGCTATACAAATCTAATATATTATTATTATTATTATCAAAGGATATAAGGAGTAGAGGCTGTGAAAAGTCAAACACATGGGCTTGGCGGCGACTTAATCTATCAGTCTGTTTGACTTCTCATGAACAGCTCTCAGAACAGCACTCTAGATGGGAATAATCAATAAGGCAGGAAACAAAGGCAACCTTTTGATGCATTATAGGAACATAAAACCTAGTCGATAAATAATTAAAACTGTTGTACTCGTAAAAGATAAGTATGTTTCTGAGAATACTGGTCCAAACATATAATAATAAGCCGTACAAATTCAGTACTGTAGTTGGAAAATATGCATCTGTGGTAAAAAAACGAATCTATTTAGAACAAATGCAGCGCGCTAATGATCATAAAGGTGTGTGTAAATGAGCGAGACATTACCTTTGGCCAGGTTGTCCTCATCATCCAAGGCTTTGCCCGCAACAGGTGTGCTGCCCTTTGTGCTGGACCCCTGTTGTCAAAATACAAGCATAAGGTCACATATGTGTGTCTGTGTGTGTGTGTGTGTGTGTGTGTGTGTCTGTGTGTGTGTGTGTGTGTGTGTGTGTCTGTGTGTGTGTGTGTGTGTGTCTGTGTGTGTGCGCGTGTGTGTTTGCATCTGTGTGTCTGTGCGTGTGCGTGTGTGCATGTGCGTGTCTGTGTGTGTGTGTGTGTGTGCACGTGTGTGTGTGTGTGTTTGCGTCTGTGTGTCTGTGTGTGTGTGTGCATGTGTGCTTGTGTGCATGCGTGTGTGCGTGCGTGTGTGCGTGTGTGTGTCTGTGTGCGTGTGTGCATCTGTGTGTGTGTGTGTCTGTGCGTGTGTGTGTTTGCGTCTGTGTCTGTGTGTGTGTGCATGTGCGTGTGTGCGTGTGCATGTGTGTGTGCGTGTGTGTGTCTGTGTGCGTGCGTGTGTGTGTCTGTGTGTGCATCTGTGTGTGTGTGTGTCTGTGTGTGTGTGCGCGTGTGTGTGTTTGCGTCTGTGTGTGCGTATGTGTGTGTGTGTGTATCTGTGTGTGTGTGTGTGTATCTGTGTGTGTGTGTGTGCATCTGTGTGTGTATATCTGTGTGGCTGTGTGTGCGTGTGTGTGTGTGTGTGTGTGTGTGTGTGTGTGTGTGTGTGTGTGTGTGTGCATGCGTGCGTGTTTACACTAAAGCATTAAAGGCTAGAAGTGGCAAACAGATTTCCAGCGACTTTAGTGCCACCTGCAGGTTATGTTTGGTACTACATGTTGTACTGCTCTAGCATTTTCATTGATGTATGTTTAATAAAGTCGGTGTGGAAGTCACCTCGTCTTCACTTGTTTTATCAGTTGGGTGTTGAGAAAGATGGCTATTATAATTGATACACCATTCAAACAGTGGACTCTGGAGAACAGGAACCTAATCGGTGCAGTATTTTGATTCCAACTAAAACTGGGACCTCGACTGATAGTGAAGCAAGAATTCAGAAAAAGGCACCCCACAGAGAGGTAAACGATGAGGGCGGACATCTTTTGTTTTAACAGCTTGATAGTTTGAGTCTGAACACAAACAAAACAAATGCTTCCCGTCTACAAATGATATCAAAGTTGAGCACGAATGACGGCTGAAGGTAAATACTAAGAAACGGAGTCACAGCTGGAGTCTCACTACCTGCTGCTGTTAGCTCATCAGCTGACACAGATTAAATGTCAGACCTGCTGCCTCAAGAGCCACCTGCTCCCCATTAGAGCTGCCCTACCACAACATTATACACGCCATCAACAACAACAAACACAGCACAATGAAGTTCACAACAACGTGAGGATCAGACAGCCAATTAGAGACAAGAGATTTCTTTAAAAGCCACAGTGATGTTTTGATTTTAATCCATGTTCTTAGCCGTCTGTTTATACTGGTAATAAAAGGGATGGTTCAGAGTGGCGTTGTATGAGGCACGTATCCATAGCGACTGTTTTACATACGGTAAACAACTGCTTGGAACAACAGACAGGAAGTGAAACTATATCAGTTTAACGAGGCCCTATTTTGCTTTTTCAAGTGTTCCCTTTCCTGTAGTGTGTTATGTAGGTTTTAGTGCATGTAAATGGTCTGCAAAGTCTAAAATCCCTGGTGTTCCCTCTAGACCGGGGTTTCTCTGAATTTGGGGCATGGCGACTGCAACTACTGGTAATTCACCTCCAACAATACCACTTCAAAAAGGATCTGAACGTACCCTTTAAGACCAAGGTGTCAAACTCAAATACACAGTGGGCCAAAATAAAAAAATGGGTACTAGTCGAGGGCCGGACTGGTTCAATGTTTATAGCAGAACTTATTGAAATGAACTTATTGCACATATTAAACCTGGAACTAACAAAACTTAAATTATTGCCTATAAAAACAACATTCAACATTAAATAATCAGTTTCATTCATTTCTTATGGCTCTATCTGCAGAGTCATTTCTTATGATTACATTTCTCCACAGGCCAACAACAGCTTCAAAAAAACTATTCCCCTCAAAGAAAAACCAAACATGCCCTGTTGTCGTGAGAGAAAAAGTGCAGAAGGAAACATCCATGTAAACTCAGTTTGCTGCTCTGTGATGCTAGTTCAAGCCAGATACTTGGCATCTCATCTTGGGTGCAAGTTCATCAATGTTTGGGGTCAGGCTCTGAGCTGAGGAGACCCTCAGGATTGAGTGAAGGTGAGCATGCAATATACCGGCGGGCCAGATCTAATAGTAATTAAACATTATCCTGCGGGCCGAAATTAAATCCACCAAGGGCCTGATTTGGCCCCCGGGCCTTGAGTTTGACACATGTGCTTTAAGAGGTATTCAGTTAGCAATATCTCTCAAAGTTAGGCTATAGTTTGAAGGGACTGTATTGCTTTAGGGGTTTCTAATGTTTTGTCCACAGCATTTACAAAAATAAGGTGTTTAAAATATACTTTTATCTACCAACACAGACCATAAAACATCTCAAGAAGCAAATCTGTCAATTAACAACAGAACCAGAGCCACCGAGAGAGGCCCTGACTACAGATGAGACATTTTGTAGGTCAGCAACAACCGGAGAACAAAGTCCACTTCAACCCTTGACACACATATTTAAGGTGTTACATAATAAATCCCACATCGAACAGAGAACAGAGCACGAACCAGCTCTGTCAACAATGATGAGGGCAGTCCTGATCGTAGGACATAAACTCACATAACTACGAATTATGGGAAATATGTGAAGAGGAAATTCCACAGTAAGCACAAACAGACAAGCTCCACCCAGCCTGACCCTTCACACAACACACGCATTCATGATCGCCTCTGGCTAGACAAGAAGCATCCACACACACTTATTCTGCTATTGTGGTCAAACTGAGACTTTAATTACGGGGGGGGGACAACCAGCAAAACACGGCGTGTGAAAACTGACATGTGATGAAGTTATAAAATGAAGTTTACAACATATGACGTGTGATAGGGTGGAACTGAATCCTGCTAAATCTGGCTGTGGCTAAACACTTTTCCTTTTCGGCAAGCAAACATTTAATGAAATGTGGCAACCACTTTCCTTCATTCTTAGAGACCAGCCTAGTCCATTTTAAAAGCTAAATAATGAAAGCTTAACATGAATTTTTATGTTTTTTTAAAGATATTTCTGCCCGATTTGTTGTGTACAAAGGAGGCATGTTGGGTTATTGAACATCAAGCACTATAATAACTAAATGAGGGACCTGATTTCAGGACAGTTTGGTACATTTCTGATGATGTTTGGGGGGGAAATGTTGAGATAATTGTAATGTTGATGTGTAGTCAGATGTTGATTTTTGTATCAATTAGTTAAGGCTATGAAAGACCAGAGAACACGCACAATTCAGTTTTTACATTTATGCCCATTGGTTAAATATAACTAATTGTACTAGGTGAAAAAGTGATATACACACACATGTTCTTGTCTTTACATTTTGTATTTTTGACATCTGTGTTTGTCTGGTGAAGCTATGTGTAAAATGACGCATTGTATATAATAGAGAACATCAGGATGAAGCCAAGATGGCATATGTTTGCACTGTGGATGTGTGGATCATGACATTAAACCTGATGTAAACACACCTGTCCTGATGGGGAAGGGAAGCTGATGCCCTCCTCCTTCAGAGACTTGATGGTGGCGCTGATCAGGCTGAGCTGTGGATCCTTCTGGAAGCCTTCAGCCCACTCCACCATCAGAGCCTTCAGCTTCTCACACACCTTAGGGTGGGCCTGCAGAGAACAAAACATAGCATTATTGTTGCTCTATCCTGTGTCTTTGTGCCAGAAAGAGACTATAATCCTTGCCCAAAGACAAACATAGTTATGGATATATCTGTGGCATTTAGGGATGCTCCGATCGATCGGCCGATACTCACTCTCTGCTCTCTAAAAATGCCGATCGCGAGAGCCGATCGCATGACGTAAAATACATGACACTTTTCTCTGTGCGCGGCAAAACAAGCTCGCCAAAATGGCTTCACTAGTCTGGCAGTATTTTAAGGTGTCCGAAAAAGACAGTAAAATAGCGGTATGCAACGTGTGTGTGAAGCAGAAATCCTGCAGCTCCACCCGCTGTGACGGACCGGTGAGCGGAGCAGAACACACATTAAGAGTTAGACCTAACACACTTAGCTATTTGATCTACCTCTGGAACAAGCTAAACTAGTTATACATATATGTATTCTTCACTGTCGGGTCGCTCATTACTGGATCAGTGAGCTGCAGGAGATACTGACAGGCTGTCAGGAGAGAGAGAGAGGAAAAGAGAGAGACCGCTCATTTCTCCCGTGTTATTATCCAAAGTGAATGTAAACTTGAATAATGTACTTCATTTGAATGTAATAATTATGTTGGTTGTTGTTTGTGGAAGCGCCAGTGAATGAGCCCCATTAACTGAGTTTTAAACATCACTTTAAATGGAAGATCCCCATAGGCCCCGCCCACTCGATCGGATCGGTATCGGCCGATACTGATTCCGGCGATCGGCGCATCCCTAGTGGCATTACAGTGAGGGAGTACATGTGTGAGAATGACACTGGTCAAGAGGGTACACAGAGATTAAAGACATACAGAGGAGGAAATAAGTATCTGATCCCCTGCAGATTTAGTAAGTTTACCCCCTTACAAAGAAATTAACAGTCTGTCATTGTTATGGTAGGTTTATACAAACAGTGAGAGTAAGAATATCAAAAAGACAATCCAGAAATTGAGGGGATCAAATACTTATTTCCCACAGTTAAATGCAAATCTATTTGTATCTTTTATATAATGTCAATTTCTGGATTTTCTTTTTGATATTCTTTCCCTCACTGTTTGTATAGACCTACCATAACAATGACAGACTGTTCATTTCTTTGTAAGTGGGTAAACTTACTACAGGGGGGCGTCTTGCCGTCATTCAGCTCGGAACGCCCTGAACTCGAGCCGAGGGCGTCCAAAGAAAATAATAATTTGAGAGAAGATTGAGAGTTTTTATCGCTTGAAATGACGAAAAGGAAAAAGGACAAGGACATCCCTCTGTTGGAGGGGCAAAGGAGTCTGGTGGGATTCTTTTCGCCGCCAGCAAAGCGTGTTCCTGTGACGGAAAGTGTACTGCCGGCGAGCCTCGACGGGGGGTGCTAGTGGAGCATGCGCGTGAACTGCGAACGCCGGAGCCTCGCAGCGGCGAAACTGAGGCTCCGTGGTAAACTGTGGTAACATGAAGAGCCGTTTAGGAGCCGAAAGACTCTTCTTATGGCGCATTTCCACTACACGGTCGGCCTCGGCCACACTCGGTACGGCTCGGTACGGCTTGGCCGCGTTGGGCCTTAACAGGGCCGACTCACTTCATGCTGCGCTTCCATTACAGTTTAGGAACTGGGGTAGTTACTATAGTAACGCAGTGTAGGCGGAGCCGTGACGTCATCTTCAATGAGAAATCCAGAAACACAACACAGCCGTTAGCTGTGAGCACTCAGAGCTCACAGCTCCTTATATATGTTCAGAAACTCGACAAAAGTTAAACAAGTACACACCACAGACTGCCTGTGTCATGGTGAATACAGTCGCTGCTGTATTTATGTCTGTATAGGCCGTTGTTGTGAGTGTGGACGGTCGGGGCATATACTGCGTTAGCTTAGCCAATCTCCATCTAGAAAAACACGAATTTTAAAAGGTTTTTCGCCTGCCGTCTGTCTGCAGACTTGACAAAGCATTAATTCATGGTTTTTACTAACCGGTATCAGTATGTTGTTACTTCGGCATCATTTTGAAACGTGTATTACAATTAAATCACGGTCAAATATGTCCATCTTGTTGTAGTTGTAGCCCCCTTGCCAGCGCTCCTCTCTCTAGTTTAGCATACTCAGCCCGACTCAGCCCTGTTTGTTGGCCCCGATAGAACCACAATTTTCTAGGGCCAGAAAAGAGGGGAAAAAGTGGCCCCGCGCCGTGCCGCGCCGGAACGAGGCCTAGTGGAAGCACAACCAAAAAAGGGGACGGCACGACACGGCACGACACGGCACGCTTAAAGCGAGCTACGCGCTGCAATGGAAATGCGCCATTAGTGAGCCGAGCCAAATGATCCGGCTCACTAAGAAGAGCCGGAATTCCCATCACTAATACGTAAAGAGATAGCATCTATAAAAGGGACAGCTCAATTCAAAATTCAAGTCACGTGACACGACATGACGTCACACCCCCCGCTCTTGGGGTGGACGCCCTCTCAGCCCTGGTCTGGAGGAAACACTGGATCAAGTACTTCAGTCCTCCTGTGTATATGGTTATAAAAAAGGGATATTGAGGATTTGTATTTAACAAGTTCACATACCCTGCCGAGCACACTCCGTACTTCACTGGAAAACTCCCTCGAGCAGATTTCCAGGTGGAATATTTTGCCGCAGTTAGAAACACAAGCACCCACCAACTGCAAGGGAAGAAAAAAAAGTCAATATAGATAAAAAAACAGCTGATATATGTTATATTATGTAGGGAAAACTGACATTGCACATTATTCCGATTAGGTATTGATAGCAGGTGAGTTTGGTATTGCTCTAAAATGTTTGAATGACAATAGAGTTTTGATAAGGGAATGAGTGAACAAAGGGATCTAATTATAGAGCAGGCCATGTGACAGTATGTGCTCATGATGACTCAGACAGCTCACATCATTATCATTCTCCCTTTATGAAATCTTCCACTTTCCTGTAGGGCTTCAACAATGAGAACATTAGGTCAATTACAGCTCAACTGGAGCTAAATTGCCCTGGTAAATAATGCATTTCCCATACTTAAAAAGTGAGAATATTAGGAGAGTTTACCCCTACCCAGTTCTATATAGTTAAAAGGTCAAATATGTAGGCTTACATTGGATTTGGAACTGGCAGGTTTTGAGCAGAAACAAAAGAATGGATGCTTATACTGATGGTAGCTGTAATGTGGATAATGGTATACTGCTTGCTGGGAAACAGTTCATGTCATTTCTTAATAGCGTACTCACATTGACGGCCTGCATGGCAACATGAGGCACTTTGTGGTTGACTCTCTTCATGATGGATCTCAAGCTGTCCTTCGGTCTGAAACACAAGAAAACAGAATACAATTCAATGCTGGAACAATAATTACTAAACAACGACATTTTACACTATGCTAGTCATAGTGATATCTGGTTTAGGCTATTTTGAAGTGTAACGCAGCGTCCACACGGCGGCGTGCGTTGAAGCTTGCCGGTGGGCGTGTCTGAAACTCGACCAACAACCAATCACATGAATCTCCCACCCCGGACACACAAGCACGCGGTTTGATTGTACTGGCATATGATTTGATTGGCTGACGCTTCTGTCGAAGCTTCAAAAGTTGAACATTGCTCAACTTTTGAAGCGAGCAAAGCGAAGCGACGGAACCACAATGCAGTTCGGCAAAGCGTGACGTCACCCCATTTAAAGTGAATGGGCAGAAGCGTTGAAGCTTCAACGCACGCCGCCGTGTGGACGGGCCGTAACGTTTTATAGGAAGGAACCGCACTTAAACAAGGAACTATTTAAACCACAGTGTTGCTCAAAATGCTCAAGAACTCCACATATAATGTTAAATGCTTTTTTCCTGCTTACCCATTGGCTGTCGTTCCAATCTTATCACAGATGTCCATAATGATCCCCCAGTCGTCTGTTGTGTTGTTTTCATTGGTTGCCTTTTCTGGAAATATATCAAAAGGGACACAGTGCATATGGTCAAGTGAGAAAAATGTCTTTACTGGCATCATGACTGTGCAAGACGCAGTGGGCAAGCGTTATAGAAATAAAAAGCGTTGAACTGCCACACATTAGAACTGGTAAATGTTGTCAGCTTAAAGTTAAATACAATATAAAAAGAATCATAAGAGTTGTATTGTGTGAACTTCCACTAGTAAACCATCCCAATCTTCAAGCATTTCCACACCTTTAGTTGTGTCTAACAAAAGCCAAGCTCATTACATGACATAAGGTTGAACATGACATTGGCCTTTTGCCCCTAAAAGTGAATATCTTACAGAAGTGTCATGATGGTAGTGGAAGGGGGATTTTGTCAACTTGTGACCCAACGCTGCTTTGTAATATGTTAGCATTCTAACTAATAGTAGACCCTGGCATGACTCACATCCTCCTGACTTGATAACAGTCAGAGAGCCAGTTAAATGTAACAGTGCACTTTTGTTAGGACACACAGATAAGAGTGATGACCAAGGACATTTGCATGATGCTTTTCATACCATGGCTATAGGAACAGACACATGGCGACGAGCTGAAGCCATTTGTTAATTATTGAAAGACAATTTGGATTTGGGCAGCAAACTAATGACTGCTTTCATTGTCCTTAGATCATTTTCTTAAAGGTCCCATGTCATGGCCATTTCTACCGATCATAATTCCATTGTTGAGGTCTACTAGAATAGATTTATACTGTACAATTTTCCAAAATCACATTGGTTTCTCATACAGCATCTCTGTATAGTATGTGTATTCACTCTCTGTCCTAAACGGCTTGTTGGAGCTCCTGCCCCCCCCCTCCCTGTGAGCCCAGTGGCCGTCTGCGAGACACAGCAAAACCTAGCCCAAAACACACACACACACACACACCCACCCGCAGCCTGGCTGGGAGTGCCGTGGTGTCTCGCTGACCCCACACCAGTGAGCCAGCTCACAGTGTCCCGCTCCTCGCAGCAGCGAGCCTCGCAACGTCCCGCCGAGTGTGTGTGTGTGAGGAAGTCCACAGATTGGTCCAAACGTAACGGCTCCGTGGACGTAACGTAACGGCTCCGCAGATTGGTCCATTTGGACCAATCTGCGGAGCCGTTGCATTACGTTACGTCACTATACCCGAAATACGTCACTATACCCAAGAAGTAAACAATGGAAAAAGAGAAATGTCCAACGAGGCGTTCTGGGGCAGCATAGACAGGTCTTTTCTGTGTTAGAGTTGTACTCGCTACAGGGTGTACTTTGAGGGTTTGTGACCCTGCAGACCGTTTACATGCAGAAAAACCTTCATAACACACAAGGGGACGGGTAATAACCAGAAAAGCATGACATGGGCCCTTTAATGAATTGTTAGATCAATACAAATGTGCTTTAACACACATGTCTGTCAACAGGCGAGTGTATTGACCGACCAATAAAGTCCCCCTTACTTATGATATTTCATTAATTGTTTAATTGAAAAGCATACATATCATAACACAACACCTTCAAGGACATTTTGAAGATAATATTTTCACTTAAGTACAATCTTAGGTCGTTTACTTTAAACAGAGTACCATCTGTTAATGTAAAGTTACTTGTTCTTCTGATACTCTTACTCTACTGTTACATGGCAAATGTAGACATAACAAATATATGTAACCAGAGGTGGAAGAAGTACTCAGATCTGGTCAAGCAAAAGTATTAGCATCTAAATATACTTACGGTACCAAAAAAGCAGATTACAGAATAATATATTTATTATATGCTTTGATTATAATTATTTATGTACTAAAATGTTATCATAGCTTGGAAAGGTGCAGCTAATTTCCATTACAGTGTGTACACAATTTACCTCTGATTTGTAGGGGGTAGAAGTAGAAAGTAAAAACAATTGAAATACTCAAGTAATGTACTAATACATCAACATTTTTACTTAAGTAGAGTACTTGAGTAAATGTACTTAGTTACTTAACACACTGTATGTCAACCATACGCCCTGATTTTGGATCATATGATGTTGTAACTGACGTTAGCTAGTCACGGTTACATGAATCACACTGAAAAATATCAACAAGTCTCTTTTTAAGGATACACTTAATGGACGTTTTTGACAACTAGTCAGTCCGCTACAAACCTAGGAAGTATTTGAGAATCGTGGGTGCGTTTGATACCAAAAACAAGCGAAAGTAAAATCAACTTAGAGCGAAGTAAAGAAGTTAAGCTAAGCTAACGTTAGCTTCCAGTGTTGTTGGCCCTATCGTTAGCTTTAGCTTTAGCTCGGACAAAACACCAAAGGAACAAAGCTTTACTTACCGACATCCTGGTCAAATGGATTTTGGGCAAACAAAGGCATGTTGACGATTTAAAAAGAACTAGGAAATTTGACGAAAAATGAATATTTGGTTTGATTTCCAGACTAAACGTAAACAAATATCTCTTCCTTGTCCATTAAACACCAGTTGCTCTTCCGGAAACTTGGCTGTCTTGAATAATGCCTGAGCAATATGTTTTAATTGCTGAGTGTATGAGACCAACTGGGTTTTTATTTTTTTTACATCTGTTGATTACGTTTCATAATTGTGTATTTAAGTTATTTTAACCACAGCATGTGAACAAAACAATCCTAAGAAATATCCACATACTGGCACTTTATTAACCATCTATGTTTACCTACTCAATGGAGACTAGTGAAACACTGCCATCTAGTGGACAAACGGAAAACATAAATCCAATAAAATCTGAGTTTATTTTTACAGCACAATTTCAGAAAAACACATTTTTAGTAGGTCTCAGTGGAGAGTCGATACCCCCTTTTTGTTTTTAATAATTGTAGCTATTGTGCACATGACAATGAAGCCTTGGCCATGGATCAACAAACACACTTTAATTGTCAAACCATGAGAGATAAAACAATGTTTCTGTGTTGTTTTTGTTTATTTAAAATATCCTTAATATTCCACATAATGTAATTATGAGGAGGACATGGCCATTTTTGTATTCCTTCATAACTTATAACATTCATCTGTTTATAGCTAACATATTTATTCATTAATACAATAAGCAGTTTTTAATTGCACTGTACAGTATTTTATTTTACATTTTATTTTTAGCTTATGTTTACTCCAAATGCATTTACTTGCACATTATTCAAGTGCAACATGCTAGTGCGAAGAAAAAATATGTAAACTATCTGACAAATAAAACACTAAAAAGAAGACATAATAGAAATAAAATAGTGCGGTCAACTTTTGTATTTTCAATCTTTTAGATTAGTTTTATTTTAGATTTTTAGATAATCATATTGTATAATTGTTTATATTTTACTCTCCTAATTATGTGCAATTCTTTGTTTTACATGCTGCTGCAACGAAAACCTTTCCCCATTTGGGATCAATAAAGTATATCTTATCTTATAAATATATTTATGTCCTATTACTTTAGGAGCTGGGATCTTAAGATTTCATTGCCATATAACCACACTGTAGTTACTGTGTATATATTTCAATATAACCTTTTGAATCTTTGAATATAGCATGTTTGTGGTCTGGGACGCGCAGTAGGGGGCGCGCCTTTCAAAAAGCATCTCATACTGAGGGACTGACAAAGAGTACAACGTTAGCTCAAGATAGTTAATGTTATATCAGTCATGTTCAACTCTGTGGGCATTTGAGGGATATACATATTCTTGATTTAATTCACACAATAATGAATAGTCTAATCTCGATAAAAAGAAAACATTGAAAAGACAGATTTTAAGGTGATATTTAAAGCGTCATAATGCAAAAAGAAATTAAAAAAAACAAAATAAATACAAAATAATTTTTAAAAAGCGTCATAAAGCGAACATTAAAAAAAAACAAATTTGCACACGGGAAAATAATGATTTTTAAACTGATATTCAACTAAGATTTTTCTTCTCCCTGCTCCTTTCCACCATGCGCTATAAACAAAAAAACAACCAGTGTAAGTGTACATGTTTTGTTATAAAATAACTGCCATGTGTGGGATAAACGAATAAATACATAAAGAAATCAACTTAAAGCGTCATGAAGTGAAGCCGGAAGAGCGTAGGAGGGAATCCTCTCGCTTCAGTACGTCACTTCCGGCCTCCTTGTTGGTTTCCTGACTCGGTGGTGAACCTGACAGCCGGAGTGTTCTCCAGGACCAAAGAACCGTAAAGGGTTGCATTATAATGTCGGCAGCGGCTCCGGGGACCAGCAAGCCGGCCCACGGTGATGTGGCCGGGAAGAAGAAGAAGGGCCCCGGTGCTCTGGCCACGGCCTACCTGGTCATCTACAACGTTGTTATGACAGCAGGGTATGTAGCGTGTTTCCTGGTGCTAATGCTCTCTGTACGCATGCATGTGTGCAATAAATCACAAACAATGATATGTAATACTTCCTCTTTTGTAATTTTTTATACCACCTTTTTTTGAATTATTAACATGCATATTGTAGGAAGTTATCATAGGAAGCAGTGCAAGCATGCTGTATACTTGTATACTAGTGAATTAGCGTCCAAAGGCTAATAGAGATTAACGTTAAAGCAACAGACAGCCACCTGGCGTGCTCAGTGATTACTGTATAACTGACTGTCTCCTCTGCATACAACACACTCATAATCAGACAGATGGTTTATTGTCTGCAGACAGGCGTGATTTTATTACACCAGAGAAATGTTTGTTATCATCTTGCATTGTCATGTTTTTTGCAGGGCAACCGCTGATTGCGTGTTTGGTTGTTCACAAAAGTTTAAATAATAAGGAACCATAATGTGCATAAAGAGGATTAAGAAACTACGGAAGAGGATTAGGGCCATACGAGACATTTTCTTTAGGGTATGACCAAGAGAAAAACAAATACTTTTTTTTTCGGAATATCTTTTGACTTTAACGCAAAAAAAATAAATCCCTTTGGTTCACATCTCAACAAAGTGTTCACCTGTGGCCCTTATCCTCTTCCATAAGAATCAGCTATGGGCTTATCGGCAACCTCTTATGATATGTAAGAAAATCAGTCTGGTTTGAAACAGAAACAGTTTCTTGATTAGATGAGAAATGAATAAATGTCAGGTCAGGGAAAACTGATCAGTCACATTTGGGGTTTTGTGCTTTTCACTCTTAAAAAAAAAATACTATTATTGTATTTTTTTTACATAGGAAATCTTTGGTCAGACAAAATGAGATGCCTCCCAAAATGTATAAGGAAGAATTTGTTCACTTTTTGGAACATTTCATAGGAAAAGTGTATAAGTTGCTTAAAAACTGACTGTCAGTCATTTTTGTGGGGGAAACTTCTGAAGCAATTGGAGTCAGGACTCAGAGAGAGACACGATGGAGAGCTGGAGCTTTGATGGCAAACACTGACGGTTTATTTGGAGCTTCGGCCGGAGAATTCACAAGACATGTCACGGGCCACGGTCTGACCACACGGTTGAGATGCCACAATCAATTCTGCAGACCCCTCCTGTAGCTCCAGGTTTAAACTAGTTCAGAGTGTAATAATCAACATTCTTCAATAGATGGACTAAACAGCTGAGGACACTGAATCACATTTGTTGTCGCTTATGGCTCGAGGTCATCTACACCCCGAGAAGGATGTGTTCCAGGTGTCCCACAACAATAACTATCTCTGACCGAGAGTTGCCCGGTCACAAACTGGCAACATCAACAAAATGCTAGGGCAGCTCCTCCTTAAGGGAGATAACGGCTGCTCAAGGCTGGTCAGCTGCGTCAGAGGGCGAAGGACGACATGCAGGGCAAATGATTCCCCAACAATTTGACTAATTGATAACCGCTGCCTTAGTTGATATCCTTACATCATTGATAAATGTTTGTGGGATGTTTGGTGATGACAAACTTGTTGAGCGAGAAGTAACCTGTAGTTTTCTTTAAAAATATTACATTATCTAGAAAGTTTGCCTCTTAGAAATGTATTTATATAAAACATTGTAAGGAATGGAAGTATTTAAGGTAGGATTTTTTTAAATAGAGCTGTAGCAATATGACCGTATGCCTTTAACTCAAGTCCACATCAGTAATGCCTCAGGGTGGCTTTAAGTTTATTACTGTAAACTATACTATAAATTATTCCGCAATCCATTTGAAAAGCTCCCTCGCCTGGCCCAGACTCTTGCTGTAAATAACTAAATGAATTTCCCTGAACCATGAACTGATAAATCTCTCTTTTATTGCTCTGTTGTTTCAGACTGTTGCACAACCGAGCGGTGGGTGTCGTTTGCTCACTGTCCAACCAGTCGGGTCACATTGTGAATGCCTCAGTATTGACGGGCCTCACAGAGCCTGCTTTGTATCGAGAGCATGTTACAGTAGGGTGTCGAACACCAAGTCTAACGCAGCGTCTGCATCAGAAGCACCACGCGCCGTTAGTTTCTGCCCAACTGGCCCTGATATTGAGGCGGAGGCGTGTGGTGCAGTGGGTTGTGCGTTGGCGTTCGGATCAGGGGGTCACGGGTTCAAACCCCACTGCAGTCAGCATGTCGTTGTGTCCCTGAGACACGTCACCCCAAATTGCTCCTGTGGGGATTGTCCACAGTATTGAGTATGTTAGTCGCTTTGGATAAAAGCGTCTAACAAGTGACATGTAATGTAATGTAATGTAATGTCATTTATCACTGACTGAGATTCAGGTCGAATAGATAAGTCACTCTGCTCAGGTTTCCTCTAGTTACACTTTCACCTCCATTGATATCAGGACAGCAGACACTCTGCATATTTTCTGTCTGTTTTGATTTTACATTGGCAATTACAATTCTACCAAAGTTCATTTAGGCCCTGTAACTAAATCACCAGCACTTACAACAGTATGACTTGTTTGAAGTGAATTTAATTGCACTTTCTTTGTTGTTCGGAGTTTGATTCTCGATGGTTTTTACACTTATTGTAAGTTGCTTTGGATAAAAGCATGAACCAAAAGTACTGTGATGTACTATAATGTAATGTGCTGACCTCCGACCTCTGCGTTCATTACATTACATTACATTGCATTTAGCTGAGGCTTTTATCCAAAGCGACTTACAATAAGTGCATTCGACCAGGAAGATACAAACTAGAAGAAAACAGAATCATATAAGTACATCAGGTTTCATAGAGCCAACACATTTCAAGTGCTACTCAACAGGCTTTAGATAAGCCAGTCCTTTTATTAGTATATAAGTGCTTTGTTAGTAATTGTATCGCTCGAAGTGGAGTCGAAAGAGATGAGTTTTCAGTCTGCGCCGGAAGATGTGTAAGCTTTCATGTGGACAAGCTCATTCTGAATGCTTTAATACACGAATTACTAGATTACATTGTATATTTTGAAACCCTTCAGACAACAGTTCTCCATGACTCATTTTTACATCGAGTTTTTAGTATTCACTAAAAGCTGAAAAACATTATTTTGCATTATATGACTCTAGTTAGTAGATGACTGTGTAGAGAATGATGTCAAGATATTTAAATATGGTTGGGGAAACTGTCCGATATTAGGTTATCAAACATATATTTGTATGTGTGTCAATGGAAGTTATGCAAAAATAAGTTGCCTTGCAGACAGTTATTGCAGCAAATTAGAAAAGTATTGCATTTTTATATATACTTACAGGACTTAAGGTATAAAGGAAAAGGCCTAAAACATGTCAAGCTGAATTAGAAACACAACAACATAGGGTAATATGTTAACGTTTATATTTCTTAAATGTTGAAAGGTATTAGCCCATTAGAGTACAATTGCATCCTATATGAAAAGGTAATTTCTTTCATCATAATGTTACTCAAATCAACATCACTGTTATTTCATAAATGCTCCCACTTCCACAGGACTCATTAACAAAATGCTCACATACGTTTTAAACATCAGATTGCACTCCCTTTCACTCCTTCTTGCCTTCATTCAAAACGGAAACCGCACACGTCTATAACAGTTCTGTGACCCCCCCCTCCTCCTCCTCCTCCTCCTGCAGGTGGCTGGTGATCGCGGTGGGTTTGGTCCGAGCGTACCTGGCCAGAGGAAGCTACCACGGCCTGTACTACTCCATAGAGAAGCCTCTGAAGTTCTTCCAGACTGGAGCTCTTCTGGAGGTGAGGGAAGCACAAAAACATCACAATATATCTGATTAAATACCGTATGTAGTGTATATATAATGTGCCAATATTACTCCTATCAGCACGCAAAAATAAAGGTAGGGTAGGTAAGAATGGAGAAACCAGCTCGAGTGCGCTAGAATTTGAAAGTACGCAGCCCCTTCCTTCAGACTTCCTTACAGAGCCCCTCCTCCAACACACACGAACGCGCACATGACCAATGAGGGCACGAGATAAGTTTGTGCACGAGATGGAAGGCTGACAGGCAGGTAGGCCATCCAGTTATTTTAGCCGGGCCGGCTCAGATGATTGGTCGTGCTTTTTACAGCGCCACGGCTTCCACAGATGACATTTTTTTATGTATTTATTGTCAAAGCACTTACTAGGGTAGGTACGTTTGAGAAACCGGCTCGAGATACACTTTTTGTTATATTCCATGGAATGCTCTTAACATCCCGATAGCAATGAATATCTGAAGTGCTTTGACAAAAAATCCATAAAAAAATGTCATCTGTGGAAGCTGTAGTACTGTAAAAAGCACGACCAATCATTTTCATTGCTATCGGGATGTTAAGAGCATTCCATGGAATATAACAAGTGTTTCTGAAGTGAATTACATACCCCACCTTTAAGGATTGCAACCATTATACAACATTATACATCAACATAAGTATTGCCATGTGATAAGAGCATGTGCCTGAAGTGATGGTGATGTTGAACAGAAACTAGTTTATTAGCACTTAACTTACAATTTAATACTTTTTTACAGCACTATTGGTGATTAAACATTCAACTGTCTATTGTCCAAGCAGTACCAGGAGTGTATGATGTATTCAAATATCATTTTAACGATTTTGGTCACATCTTGCATCAATTCATTGTCAACAAATTGCTTTACTGTTAATCCCAGTTAAAGTTTAAACTGCTACAACATTACCAGGTAAATAACATTTGTCATGAGTGTTGCATGCAGGTCTGATTTTACCAGACCAAATAATGCTTTTATGAATACTTTTTTAGAGATTTTACACTAATAAAAGTATATACAAATGACTCAGAGAAATGTGGGGGGAAAGGAGATTCAAAACTAGGTGAAAGATCCTTGTCCAGTTCTGTCACATGTGTTAAAAACACACACCACACACACACACACACACAACACACACACACACCACACCACACCAGTCATGCAGACTCTGACACACATGTGTAAAGTGCAGACGCTCAGCAGCAGGAGGTGTTTCTCTGATCCTGAACACACTGCAGCTCGGTGATGACAGGCAGAGCCACTATCTTCCATTCATAACATGTTCTGAGTAACTTCCCGGCCAGCATTATGTTGTTTCATTGAACTTCACAGTGTCAATTGTCTTTTGGCAAATGCTTCTGACACTCAAAAAACTCTTATGTAGAAATCCTAAATGTGTTTTTGTGTTAGAGAATTGTGCAAATATATTGGTTAAAACATGATGATGAAAATAATCTCCAGGAATGCACATAAAGAGAAATCAACAATGAACTTCATGCAAACAAAAAACAACGGGAAAAAGTAACAAAACTCTGTTGTACGAGTTAAAATAATGTCTTGAGTAATTTCCTGTTTTCTTCTCCTTCCACAGATCGTGCACTGCGCTGTAGGTGAGTCTCTCTGCTCTCTTTGTCTATTCAGGATTAAAGCTGTAAGCATATAACAGTATTATTTTGGCTCATCCAGATGTCCATTGGTTTGAGGAGCTGAATGTCAACGAATGTCCTAATGGTCTGTTGAGCGGTCATAATGTGTGTTTGCAGATATCTCACCTCATTGTCCGACAGCAGTGCCCTGTATTCCCACTGCTCACATTGTTAGTCTCACTCATCACATTGCGTTTGTATCTCAGATAGGGCTGCTCAGTTAATCGTATTTTAATCGCAATTACGATTATGGCTTGCAACGATTACGAAAACAACGTAATCGAAATAAAACGATTATTAGGGTCTGAGACCTAGGTCGGCGAAGACCCTATTGAAATCGGTCGCACAGCGACCGATAAACCTTTGACCCCCGCAACATATGTGAAAACTCACCAAATGTTGCACGTGCGTCAGAAGTGGTGCAACTTCAGATGTGTAATTGGTTCCGGAACTTTGCGTCAAAAATTGCGTAGGCCACGCCCACTTCCGTTTTTAACGTAAACTCCCCCCCACTTTAACTTTCCCGTAAACGAACGAAACTCGCTACGCATATCTAGGGTGCGGAGACAAACCAAAAAGCCTCTTGGAGGGGTATAAAATAACGTACAGGAAGCCGGCCATTTTGAATTTGGCCTCGGAAAAACGCGATTTATCGCGTTTTTCGTCCTCCGCACGAAATCTATCTTCTCCCAGGGACTTTATCCGTACGACTCGAAATTCGTCGGGTAGCGTCTCGAGACATGGGCAATTCAAAGTTATCACGGAAGTCTTTTTCTTTCGCACGGCGTAGCCGTGATTTGGCGCCAAAGTTTGCGTTTGCTCGATGCTCGGCCATCCCTCGCCATGAAACACGATGATGTCATAACGCCAACTGACATACTCAGAACGCCACCAAACTTCACATGATGGTTAACACTGCGGCCCTGAACAGCTCTACGTCAAATTTGATGTTACTTAATATGGCGTTACCATGGCAACGAATCCCTCGCCATAAAACACGGTGTCGCTGTAACTCCAATGGACACGGTCCCATCGTCCCCCCAATCTTCACTTTTATATCACCGGTCCATGCCTCAACAGCTCTACGTGAAATCTGAGATCTCACCGTATGCCGTTTCCATGGCAACGCAATCCCTCGCCATAAAACACAATGTTGTCTTAAGTCAATGGAAATGGTCCAAACTGCACCACACTTCAGATGATGGCTAATGGTCCGGCCCTCAACAGCTCTACGCCAATTATGGGATGTCATCATATGCCGTTTCCATGGCAACGCATCCCTCGCCATAAAACACGGTGTCGCTGTAACTCCAATGGACACGGTCCCATCGTCCCCCAATCTTCACTTTTAAATCACCGGCACCAGACTTCAGATGATGGCTAATGGTCCGGCCCTGAACAGCTCTACGCCAATTATGGGATGTCATCATATGCCGTTGCCATGGTGACAGATCCCTCGCCATGAAACACAGTGTTGTCATAACTCGATGGAAAATGGTCCAAACTGCACCAGACTTCAGATGACAGTTAATGGTCCGGCCCTCAACACCTCAATATGACAATAGTGAATTTTCTTCAAAAGCTGTTGCCATGGCAACGCATCCCTCGCCGTTAAGCACGATATTGCTATAACTCCTGTGTAAATGGTAAAAAAGTGTTCAAATTTCCCATGTGTGCTAACCGTCAAGCCCTCGACACATATATGTGTCAGTTTTGAGATTTCGTCAAATGTCGTTGCTATGGTAACAAAATGGTCGCCGTGAAACACGGTTTTCTCATAACTCCAGTTAACATGCTCCAAACGGCCCAAAACTTCACAGGTTTGATAACGATGCAGCCCTCAACACATCTAGGCGTATTATGGGGGTGTCATCAAATTCCGTTGCCATGGCGAACAGATCACTCGCCATCAAACACAATGTTTATGATACTGCTGTAACTCCCATGTACGTTGTCTGATCGGCCTGAAACTTCCCACGTTGCCAACGGCCGAGTCCTTGAGACACCTAGACACACACGTCGACGTGCGGACAACAGCCTGCGGAGCGTCGAAGACCCGCTCAACGCTGCTTGCAGCTTTAATTGTTATTGTTATTGTTATTGTTATTATTATTATTATTATTAGGCGCCGCTTTCCACCTTCTTCTCCAGTAGGACTCAGATGAGGGTGTACTCTTATGTGTGGCTGTGAACATTTTTTTTTATTATGAAGGGCAGACCATCTATTTGTATTTATTTGACTTGCACAGTGGAGCTTATCATGTTTGTTAGATAATGGGCCCTGCAGTCCCGCCACTTTGGATCAACAGGGACAGTGAGGGGGCTTAAAGTCTCTTGATACAATCTTGGCCCCCATTCCCTGTTCAATAAAGCACTATAAACAAGATTGGATAACACTGTGGTCATCATCTAGAAGTTAATAATGAAAAATAATCAAACTGAGTTCTTAGAAGTCCATTCAAACACATTCGACAGCTGTAGTAGATACTGTATCAGGTCACCATTGTCTTTAAATGCTTTCACACCTCAGGGGCAGATACGCCATGATTGTATCACAATATCATAGCTAATCACATCTCTGTGGTCTTGTATCTCATAGCATCTCTAGCTCTGATGTTTAGATCTAACTTTGAAAAGGGTGATGTTAGTTTCCCCTTTTTATGTTTGCATACAGCACACAAAAACAAACAGGTTTTGGACCAAACTTCTTCACAAAGACAGAAAAAAACATTTATGTACATAGAAGATTTGGATATAAAAAGAGATTCAAGTAGAAACACAACACATATTCTGTAGTACCACCAAGGTACAAGACAGCATATGATACTTTATGAAGACTCCTGTACTTTTACTTAAGTAGGATTTTGAACACAGGAAATAATTGCTCATATTACTCATTAAAAAAGTATCTTTGCATTGATGTTTGATACTTTTAATCACAGTAAGTCAAGGATCTGAGTACTATAACTACACAAACCATCGTAATTTAATTATTTATTTACTTTTTGTTCAATGGCAACTTTCTTTGGACATGCAAGCTATCTGCAGTATTGTGATGGCTCATTTTTCTCCTTGACCTTTTTGAATATTTGAACACAAGCTTTCCCTACCTTTCCTTAGCAAAGAGTTTTCAATTGTTAGGATTAAGACTAAAGATTTAAGAAATACTTTATAAATCCACAAGGGGAAATTACATTTGTCCCAACCCTGACCCTTTTCACTCTGTTGTTATTGACATGACATCACACACATACTTTAACCACACTCTATTCATGTTTTGGTAGCCAAGTGCATATACTGGTATGATAATTATATTCTGATTCTGATTCTGATAACTGTTTGTTTTAAAAAAAAAAAAATCACATGACTGAATGTTAACCAGGGTTTTCAGTCATTAACACTTTGGTTTAAAGCATCAAACTCATTCTAAACAACTTTTAAAACTATTTATTGGAAGCTGTGGGGAATTAAAGCAGAAGACATGAGCGGAGAAGTATTTTGCGTTGGCTCTTTCCTGAACTTCAGTTTTTGGTGCTCCCATATCAACTGCTGAACTGGATGGTTAACTTTCTGCTGAGAAACATTTGACCTTTGTTATAACAAATTAAACAATCCATGGAATCACACGGCTAAAAATCGATAGTTCTCTTGCAGCTGTTGTGTTGCAATAATCAGATACACTTACACAAGATACAGAATTGTTGGGACACTAACACCCATACCATACATGTCAATCTGAATTAAAAGCTTGAAATAACACAAGATAAAGATTACACAAGATGATAAGTGAAAAACAAGTTAAGGTTTAGCAGCCGAAAGAAGTGAAACTTACTTACAGAACTTCATCATGCCAATGGCAATGATCTTGTTTTTGACTGATTCAACATGATGTTTTGTGTCAGAGAACAACAAACATGACATGGTTCTGTTACACGTTGGTAGCTTAAATACAAATAAAAAATATTTGAGATTATGCAAGGGAAGGCCATGTGGCAAGACCAACCTGGTCTCACCAGAATGCGTGACTTCCACCACGACTCCTTAACACCGCAGTGCGTGGTGGAGTCACGAACTTTGCTACATTTATGTGGTCTGCACCACGCAAACAACCCCAATGTAAAGTGAATGAGGCTCCTTGTCCTTAAACCCTAGCCCTGAACAGCTCTACGCCAATTATGGGATGTCATCATATGCCGTTGCCATAGTGACAGATCCCTCGCCATGAAACACAGTGTTGTCATAACTCGATGGAAAATGGTCCAAACTGCACCAGACTTCAGATGACAGTTAATGGTCCGGCCCTCAACACATCAATATGACAATAGTGAGTTTTCTCAAAGCTGTTGCCATGGCAACGCATCCCTCGCCGTTAAGCACGATATTGCTATAACTCCTGTGTAAATGGTAAAAAGTGTTTCCCATGTGTGCTAACCGTCAAGCCCTCGACACACATATATGTGTCAGTTTTGAGATTTCGTCAAATGTCGTTGCTATGGGTAACAACATGGTCGCCGTGTGAAACACGGTTTTCTCATAACTCCAGTTAACATGCTCCAAACGGCCCAAAACGTCACAGGTTTGATAACGATGCAGCCCTCAACACATCTAGGCGTATTATGGGGTGTCATCAAATTCCGTTGCCATGGCGACTGATCACTCGCCATCAAACACAATGTTTATGATACTGCTGTAACTCCCATGTACGTTGTCCGATCGGCCTGAAACTTCCCACGTTTGCCAACGGCCGAGTCCTCGAGACACCTACACACGCACCTCGACGTGCGGACAACAGCCTGCGGAGCGTCGAAGACCCGCTCAACGCTGCTTGCAGCTTTAATCTTTTTATTGTTATTATTACTTTTTTTTTTTTTTTAAATTAAATTTGAATTATACTTAAAGTTCAGGGTAATCAACTGTTAAAAACATACTGTTCACAATTTTTTTCTAAAATAAATTGATGTTTTCAAAGTAAATGGATAATCGTTTTTTAATAATCGTGATATCAATTATTGACCCAAATAATCGAGATTATGATTTTTGCCATAATCGAGCAGCCCTAATCTCAGATGTAAATATGTACAGACAAACAGAAGCTTTTCAGAGAGAGAGAGAGAGAGAGAGAGATGCTGTCGTTAATGTGTGAGCGGATCAACACCTGAACGCCTCGCTGAGTTCACAGTCCCTTCATTATGTCGGATTAATGACACACACACTGTCCACTACACACACACACACACACACACATTAAAGACAACATTTTTCAAAAAGAAAAAGTACTTTTTATATTCTTTTATGACCCAAGAACTTTAACATCATGTCAGATTAATGAAAGATTATCTAGACTCCCTGTAGCTGCTGTCCACACACACACACACACACACACACACACACACACACACACACACACACACACACACACACACACACACACACTTAGTTCCTGTTTTTCAAAGAGGAAAATACTTTTAATATTCTTTTATAACCCAAGAACTTTAGGTTTTTTGCCACCGTGATTTTGACCCTCTACTAAATGTAATGGGTTAATCTGTGAACTATTCTAAACCCTAACATATAGTTTCAAGCAAATCAGAGCAGTCGTTTTCTTAATCCAAGACAGACAAACAAAGTAGCCAAAAACATAACATCCTCATTGGCGGTAATTAGACCCAGAAAATCAACACCTCCAAAATAAATGACACTATTAGTAATTAGTAGACATTTTGTTGTAAATGTCCTGATAAAACAAACAAATATTCCTTTAAAATAAGGAATACCATGCCTTTGAGGTCGTACACTCACACATGTACAGTGTTATTCTGTTTTTAATGTGTTCATTGTCTAATTTCTTGTGTGTCTCATGTCTTCCAGGAATCGTCCCCTCCTCCGTGGTCCTGACTGGCTTCCAGGTGATGTCCCGGGTCTTCCTCACCTGGGCCGTCACACACAGCGTCAGAGAGGTACTTATTCACACACATAAATCAGTCTTATTTCTGTTCAATGGACTCGGTTTGAGTGACACAGTCATGTTAAAAGTGTCCTTCATGTCCCAAAGTGACCCGTTGGTGTACTGTTTGCCCCGCTGATAGATTGGAGAGGCGTTCATGTGTAAGTAGAGTCAGACGGTCGTGCTGTAGGGGTGCAGGAATGAGTTTTAGTGTAGTGAATATGTCCCTTTCTTTGTGTGTTAATTGTATGATGCAGCTGCACTGACATTTCTCTCAAGCTGTTCATGTTTATGCGTGTGGAATTGAGTGTGTGATAAGACGTTTTAACACCATATTTGCATCGGTTTTAAACCCTAATATGGATATGCAATGTGATCTCTGAAACAAACAGCATGGTTCTGCTATTTCTTGCACAATAATATCCTGCATTATATTTGTTACTGAACATTTTTATTTCCACATGTATATTTTCCTACCTACCTACCTACCTACCTACCTACCTACCTACACACCTACCTACCTACACACCTACCTACCTACCTACCTACCTACCTACCTACCTACCTACCTACCTACCTACCTACCTACCTACCTACCTACCTACCTACCTACCTATGAGAGGCATACATTAGTAACTCGTGCAGCATGATGCAACCCCGTCTGTTCTCCTCCCATCATGCTTTGCGTTAACGTTGCAGGTGCAGAGTGAGGACAGCGTGCTGCTGTTCGTCTCCGCCTGGACCATCACAGAGATCATCCGCTACTCCTTCTACACCTTCAGCCTCCTCAACCACCTGCCCTACCTCATCAAATGGGCCAGGTAGGAAACCCACAGGGGTGTCAGTGAAGGGGGACAATTATGTTTGATTGCACCTGCTGAGAAAACATGTGTTTGAACGATCTTGGCAAAATGAGGTCATTTCATAAGAGCTGGGTCAAGCCTCAACACTTGTATTAGTTCGATTTTTTTTGTTCTTTTACATTTTTGATCAGATATTCCCTTACTTAAATACATTATTTTAGCATATTTATATAGTTTTAAGGCTCAATGATGATGAATTAGTGAAATATATTAATACAATTTACTTGAGATGAGCCCAAGGTAACATCTTTCAAAAAGGTTAGTCACCCAGATAGATAAAATTAACAACAAAATGAGACAAATGACGCAAAAACCCACATTTAAAAACATTGACCAAGCAATTGTTTAGCATTTCTACACACACTTGGTGGAGATTAGGAAAAGGAGGTGTTAATTAAACATGTTGTTTTTGTAATCTTTGCTAAATTAGGTCATTTGATGAGAGCTGGGTCAAGCCTCATTACTTGTATTAGTCAGATTCTTTTATTTTTTATTTAACCAGATAAAAAAGCATTGAGATAAAATCTCATTTTCAATGCTGACCTGGCCAAGAAGGCAGCAACGTTACACATAACACATAACACAAACATATAAAATACAGAGAACGTAACTAAGAAAACAAAAGACGAAAAAGCAGTCACTACATTGTGCACATTAGGACAGTAAGAAAGGTGCACTACTTGTTACTGCAAGAGCAGCTGGTGGTGAGGACTTCAGACAACTTCAATTTAAAACATGCGATTGAGACAAGTGCCCTCAGTTTGAGGCTTGATTGAAGGTCATTCCAAGACCAAGGACCATAATAAGAAAGACTCCTTTTTCCAGCCTCAGTCCGCAGCAGGAACCTGGAACCGTATCCAGGCACTGGATCTGAGGTTGTAAGAGTCGCAAATCTGACACATATGTAGAGTGGAAGCTTACCTAAAATGGCTTTATACATTAATAAAAACCAGTGCTGCATCCTACGCATACTAAGTGAGGACCATCCAGTTAGGCTATACAGTGTGCAATGATGAGTCCTATAGGGTGCATTTGATATATATCGCAGTGCAGCATGGTAGAGTGGGTCAAGTTTGGCCAAAACAGTGGGACAGGCAAATCTATAAATGGTATCACCGTAGTCCAGCTGGGACAGGAATAAGCCAGAGACCAACCTTCTACGGGATGAAGTTGAAAAACAACATTTAAGTCTGAAAAGGAAGCCAAGAGTTAATTTCAATTTCTTTGTTAGAACTTCAATGTGGTGTTTGAAGTTCAGATTACTGTCCAACCAAAAGCCCAGATATTTGTAGGTATCAACAAACTCAACAGAGACGCCATCAAGGGTGTCAATGGAGAGGCAAGAGGACGCTGACTAAGTAGTGTTACCTTCTTGATCAGATATTTCCTTATTTAAAGACACCATTTTATTATATTTACACCGTTTTAAGACTCAATAATGCTCATTTTCATCAAAGAGTAATTTGTTTGTTAAGCGTTTAGTTTAGGAATTGCCAAAAAAGTTGTGAAAAAAGGCACATAAATATGTTCTTGGGATGAGCACAAGGTGACCTTTTGATTACCTGTTTTATCTACCCAAAAGTTCATAATCCATATATATATATAACCAACAATAAAATGAGACAAAAGCAGCAAAACCTCACTTTTGAAATCATTGACCAATCAACTGTTTTGCATTTTTAGAATCTTTTTGATAATGTATTCCCTTATATAAAGACATATTTAAACATGTTTATACAGCTTTAGGGCTCAATATTGATGATTTTGTGTCCTCAATCAATGAGTCATGTGTCCATTAAGCATTTAGTTTATGAATTGCCAAAAAAGTAGTGAAAAAAAGCACATAAATATGTTCTTGAGATGCGCACAAGGTAACGTCTTTTAATGGACTGTTTTATCTGCCAAATAGTAACGCAGCGGCCACACGGCGGCGTGCGTTGAAGCTTGCCGGTGGGCGTGTCTGAAACTCGTCCAACAACCAATCACATGAATCTCCCGCCCCGGTCACACAAGCACGCGGTTTGATTGGCTAGAGCTTGTACTGGCATATGATTTGATTGGCTGGCGCTTCCGTCGAAGCTTCAAAAGTTGAACATTGCTCAACTGTTGAAGCGAGCAACGCGAGCAAAGCGAAGCGACGGAACCACAATGCAGTTCGGCAAAGCGTGACGTCACCCCATTCAAAGTGAATGGGCAGAAGCGTTGAAGCTTCAAAGCACGCCGCCGTGTGGACGGGCCATAAGACTTGTATGAAGGAGAGCAGCAAAAAGAAAAGCATTTCAAATCATTGACCAAGCAACTGTTTTGCATTTTTAGACACACTCGCATGGTGGAGACCATTACAATCTGAAGGAGGTGTCGGTTCAAGGACACTTATATTTAATTGCTCCTTTTGAAAAATATCTTTGAACAATCTTGCAAAATGAGGTCATCTCATAAGAGCTGGGTCAAGCATCAATACTTTTGTTACAATGTTTTTCACTGTCACACTGTTACAGGAAGCGTTATGCTATCACAATCACACTTTAACCGGCAGTACTCCTTTATTTAGACATTTTCTTTTAGTTACAATAAAGCAAAGACATACACAATATACAGTAAGTAGGTACCCGAAACCTTTCCATACTATTACATTGACAATTCCTGAGAATAGTCTAACAAAAAGGTCAAGGGTAACCCACTACCAACAAAAAAACAAATCCACACGAATCCTGTGCTTGTCTCTCGAAGCTTAATCCACAGCTTGCGGAGTCCTTTGACTATTGTGGTGGCGTTTTAATCCGTGTCTACAATTTAATAGCCACCTCTTTCGGGGGTTGTGGGTTTTGACGCGCCTCTCTTTGTTTCCAAACAATTCAGCGGAGATCGTAGTTGAATCAGATGAGCTTTATTAATTGATCCAGACGGCATATACAGGAGGACACATTTCTTCGCTTCATAGTAACTAAAAGTTTATCATTTTCAAAAGGAACAAAAAGAACACGGTCAAAAGACTTTTCCGCTTCCCCGTCTCATCACCATCAGCTGTGTCCTATCAACCTACCATATATAGGCATATACCCATGCACGTGATACTGACGCACATATCATAACAAATAAGTGAGCCTTAAATTAATACATTTTAAACCATAGTGTGACTCACAAAAATACCTGATAATCAAGAGTTTAATCTAATTTATATTATTATCAAGCCTAACTATCAGGCAATAATAACTTGATGAAAATGGCTCTAACAACTACCGGGGAAAAAAATGAAGATAACTGGGGCTGGATTGCCAAACATCAGACAAAATTAAGAATTACGCAGTCTTTAAATTATTAATTATCCTCCAGCAATGTCAAAAACGACTTCCACACCTTAATGAAGCAATCCTGTGAATTCAGTCTGTTAAAGCGAATTCGCTCCATCCTATCAGAGGAAATCATTTCGGATATGCTGATGTGTTTCTATTTAAAAAAAAAAAATGAAATGAAATCTAGAAAATTGCGCTGTTTTTCCACCATTAAAAAAAAATCTACCGTACATCTTTGTGCCTCCTGGGGGGTTTTCTGCATCTTCCTCCAAGGCAACAGTCGTTAAGAGCCTCCCTCCCCGTTGCTAGGTAGCTAACGAGGCTGTCGCTATGTTGGTATTCCTCACTCAGATTGAGTCGCACACTTAGAGGCAGAACAATTGGTCGAGCATCCGTGGAAAATCCAGAGAAGGATCAGAAATAGACAGTCGCTGCGTTTGGAGAGCCAGTTAAATGAAAGAGAACTTCTTATTCTTGTGCATCTACGATATGTAACATGAGCTCTCTCTGCAAAAAGCCTGATGCAACAGTCATATAATTACAATTTTAAAAGCATGCAGAGGTAGTGGTGTTTTATGTTTCACTTGAAAGCAGCACATTGTATGACCTGATTATTATAATAATGTATTTAGAGTTTGAAGGCAATAACGTTTATCATGGTATCTCTGTAAAGAAATCAAACGGGCACCATGTCTTTACTTAAATGCAAAGTTATGGTGTTCACACCTCCTTCCATTGATGGCTTTTTCTTTAAGGACAACAAGGACACAATGAGGTGAGATTTCCCCAAACAAAAATAACAACAAACGGCTAACCAATCAGAGCAGACTGGGCTCTGGTTTCAGACAGAGGGCGAAAAGAGGTGCTGCAGCACAGGCAGTATGAGAAAAATAAAGAGCTTTTTGAACATTAAAGCATGGAGACATGTTACAGGAGAGACACTACATACTGATATAACCTGAACATCAGCAGGAGAGGACTCTTTAAAGTAGAGACACTACATACTGATATACACCTGAACATCAGCAGGAGAGGACTCTTTAAAAGTAGAGACACTACATACTGATATACACCTGAACATCAGCAGGAGAGGACTCTTAAAGTAGAGACACTACATACTGATATACACCTGAACATCAGCAGGAGAGGACTCTTTAAAGTAGAGACACTACATACTGATATACACCTGAACATCAGCAGGAGAGGACTCTTTAAAGTAGAGACACTACATACTGATATACACCTGAACATCAGCAGGAGAGGACTCTTTAAAGTAGAGACACTACATACTGATATACACCTGAACATCAGCAGGAGAGGACTCTTTAAAGTAGAGACACTACATACTGATATACACCTGAACATCAGCAGGAGAGGACTCTTTAAAGTAGAGACACTACATACTGATATACACCTGAACATCAGCAGGAGAGGACTCTTTAAAGTAGAGACAATACATACTGATATACACCTGAACATCAGCAGGAGAGGACTCTTTAAAGTAGAGACACTACATACTGATATACACCTGAACATCAGCAGGAGAGGACTCTTTAAAGTAGAGACACTACATACTGATATACACCTGAACATCAGCAGGAGAGGACTCTTTAAAGTAGAGACACTACATACTGATATACACCTGAACATCAGCAGGAGAGACTCTTTAAAGTAGAGACACTACATACTGATATACACCTGAACATCAGCAGGAGAGGACTCTTTAAAGTAGAGACACTACATACTGATATACACCTGAACATCAGCAGGAGAGGACTCTTTAAAGTAGAGACACTACATACTGATATACACCTGAACATCAGCAGGAGAGGACTCTTTAAAGTAGAGACACTACATACTGATATACACCTGAACATCAGCAGGAGAGAACTCTTTAAAGTAGAGACACTACATACTGATATACACCTGAACATCAGCAGGAGAGGACTCTTTAAAGTAGAGACACTACATACTGATATACACCTGAACATCAGCAGGAGAGGACTCTTTAAAGTAGAGACACTACATACTGATATACACCTGAACATCAGCAGGAGAGGACTCTTTAAAGTATAGACACTACATACTGATATACACCTAAACATCAGCAGGAGAGGACTCTTTAAAGTAGAGACACTACATACTGATATACACCTGAACATCAGCAGGAGAGGACTCTTTAAAGTAGAGATACTACATACTGATATACACCTGAACATCAGCAGGAGAGGACTCTTTAAAGTAGAGACACTACATACTGATATACACCTGAACATCAGCAGGAGAGGACTCTTTAAAGTAGAGAAATCAAAATTAAATAAATTAAGGTTTAATTCAACTTAACGAGCTAATTCAAGAGTACAAATAACACTTTGTTTTGAAGGAGCTGCTCTTCGATGGCTTTTCAGAACCTGAAGACGAGAAGAATATGTCCTCTTTAAATTATTGTATTACAAAGAACCAAACAAATACCGAGACAAACAAGCCAAACTAGGGATGAAGTTCCTTTTTTCTTAAGCAGGAAAGTGTGTTTCTCAGACCTTTTTTATTTGAACAATCATCGATATAGTTTACATTTAGAGCTGTGCTAGTTAACATGCACCAAGTGTCACCAAATGCTTCTGCAGAAAAATGTAAAAATCAAAATTCACGTCATGCGTTGCTGTTTACATCAACTAAACCACCGACTACTCTAGTTGCAAAAAGAAGTGAATATGATTTATTTTAATTCTCTTTCTCCGCCCCCCCTGTGCAGGTACACCTTCTTCTTCGCTCTGTATCCGATGGGCGTGACGGGCGAGCTGCTGACGATCTACGCCGCGCTGCCGTTCGTTCAGAAGACGGGACTTTACTCCGTCACTCTGCCCAACAAGTACAACTTCTCCTTCGACTACTACAGCTTCCTCATCATCGTCATGATCTCATACATCCCCCGTAAGTCAACCAGCTGAGTTTTCCAGAGCCATAATTGGTATAATGTTATATGAATATAAGTAATTATTTGTGTAATCACACATTTACAGAAATGTTTGGCATTTACCAAAGAAGAGACAAAATGGAGACTTGGGTGTAAAGCCAGCCTACATTTCCGATATTACGTCATATCGGACGCAAATCTGGATCAGCTCCGTTGTACCTCAGTTTTTATAGATTTTGGTACGGAGGGTTTTATTTTCTGACGCTGCGTGAGTTCCCTGACACACCGGGGACACGTCTTTATGTATAAAAGACATCAAAAAGTGCATTTTGCATGATAGGTCCCCTAAGATAAGATAGGACTTTATGTACCCCGAAGAAAATTGTTGTGGCAGAGTTACAACAATACAATAAACACAGCAGCATAATAATAGTCAAAGTCAAAGTCAACTTTATTGTCAATCTGTACAGACAGAGAGATCAAAATACGGTTTCCCACAATCCCGAATATAAAAACAAATGTATATAAGAAATATGTGTGCAAATATAAATATATACACAATCAACAGACACATTTTGACATGTGCACACATTACGACCTAAATAAAAACACAACAATCAATATATACAAAATAACAGTAACTTAAATATTTTGAGAATGTACATTAGTACAAGATTCAAATCAAATCAAATCAAGTTTTATTTATAAAACACATTTAAAAGCGATTTTTGGTCGAGCCAAAGTGCTGTACATGTAATAAAAACACATTACTACAATCACTATAAAAGACAATAAATTACAACAGATATATATAAAAAAAAAAAACACAAGGAAAAGTCAGGAGTCGTGCTCCGCTCTAACTAGAAGGCCAGAGAGAAGAAGTGTGTTTTTAGTGTAGATTTAAAAACCCCTAGGGTCTGGGCCGACCTCATATGGAGGGGCAGAGTGTTCCAGAGCCGAGGGCCAGCTGCTGCGAAGGCTCGGTGCCCTCGGGTTTTAAGCCTGGTCTTGGGCACTACCAGCAGCAGCTGGTCAGCAGACCTTAAAGCTCTGGCTGGGGTGTAGCGCTGGAGCAGTTCAGCTATATAGGCCGGAGCCAGCCCATTTAGTGCTTTGAAAACAAATAAAAGGATTTTAAAATCAATTCTGAACCGAACTGGAAGCCAGTGTAGTGAGGCCAGAATTGGGGTGATGTGGTCACGCTTTTTGTGGCCAGTCAGAAGACGTGCAGCTGCGTTTTGGACTAGCTGCAGGCGTTTGATTGAGGCCTGGTCCATACCCACATACAGAGCGTTGCAATAGTCCAGTCTTGAGGTTACAAAGGCGTTGATAACCCTTTCTAAGTAATTAAAAGATAAATACGACTTGGTTTTGGCCAATAGTCTTATTTAAAAAAAGCAGGATTTGACTACGGATTGTCCATCGAATGTGCAAAAAAAACTGTACACTAATAGTGCAGTAAAAAGATCAATTCAATATCTACAGGAAACATAACTTACTGACTGATCTCCCCCCCCCCTCTCCCCCAGTGTTCCCCCAGCTTTACTTCCACATGATCCGACAGAGGAAGAAGGTCCTGGGCCACGCAGAGGACTACAGCAAAGTGGAGTGAGCGAGCTCAGACACAATCTGACAGAAAGGAAGAAGAGAAACCAAAACAACCAGCCAGATCTATACACTGGCAGAAGATCAAATTATCAAGCAACTTTGTTTTTTTCCTAGCTTTTTGACCCAGGGGTTGTGTAGAAAAAAAAACATGAACAAACTGGTGTTTTTATTTGTTTTGTTTGAATTTTTTAAGTTAAGTTAGTCAGGGAGTTTGCAGCTGTAAACAAACTGTGTCTAACCGGTTGCTATGTGAGCACGGAGCAGATTTCGGTCGCAGCTGAACCGATGACGCACTGATAGAAACGATAACCTCCTTTTTTTTTTAAACGCCACCGTTAGAAAATCCCTCGTAGATTTTCACCTCCTCATGGCCCCCCCTTTATTCTCGTTAAGTTTTGCTTTACTATGATGTAGACAGATTAATATGAACACTAGTACTGACACTAGGTCGTAGGTTTTACATATACAGTGTTTGTTGGTCCAGTTCTCTTTCATTCATTTCAGCCAAAAGTTCATTTACATTCCTGATTTAGTTCAATAAACCTTTTTTCCATTCATGTGCTTGCATGGTTTTTATGTTTAATCTTGTGTTAGTAGCTGGATGTAGTTGCATTATTAATCAAAACCTTTATTTTCCCAGTGATGACTGTGAGTTGTGTCTATTAATTTCCCCATTTAAACATTATTAACTTGAAGTAGCCAGTATGTTTTTCCCATCGCACATTCATCCATTCATCCTTCTTCTCTTCATGTGATTGCCTTTTTCTTATATTATCTATCAAAGTAACTTATTTTAGCATTTAAAGCTCCAGTAAATCGATACTTTACAAACCATGCTAATCAAAACACACTTTCATTCAAGCTTTATTAAGCTCTCAGGCTTCACTCCATCTATAAGTAGTGAAAGAGGTGAATGTGTCTTATAAATGGGACGTAAGAACATGACTGAAGACGGGTTATCTAGTGAAAACATACTTAGCAGAACGTAGCAACAGGGTTTTCTGAAGAAATGAGCTTTGATAAAACCGCCTCGTAGCCCAAATATATGTTGGTTGTTCAACTTTAAGGACTTAACAGATTGACATTGCGTTACTTAATGTAGTTATTTTAGCTTCAATATGAATCCTAAGTGACATGTCCTTGTCATTGCTTTAAAAAGGGCTTCTGAAGGTAGCTAACTGAGCTTGTGGTCATGCCTTTTCAATGAGTTGAATCTAATAACGCACTGTACGAAGAGTACAGAACAAACTGTGATTCATACTTCTACTTTCTTCAGGTTTTGTTTGGTATGTTGATGCAAATTCCATTATGTTTGCTCATTGTTTAAGGTCGGAGTATTAATCCTGAATGCTTGATATATATTTCGTTGGGTTCTGTTGCAGCTGATATGTTAGAGATTACCTTAACATCAGGCAAAGAAAATACATTTTATTGACCTCAATTATATTTCTCTGCATCAAAGAGAGAGCTTTAACCAACATGTGGTCAGCAGTTACTTATTCATTGGTCTGTTAACCCAAATTACAAAGACCGTATCGTCACATAATGATAGTTTTGGTTGTATTTGACCATATTTTAAGATATGCAATCTGATTTCTTTGATTTCTGCCTCCATGCCAGAGACTTGGAGGTGAATGAAATGTAGTTGGTGGTGTTTGCAGCATTTTAAAACAACATAAAAAGCTCAAAAACAGCAACATTGATTTCTACTTCTACCTTTTCGAGTTTTGTTTGTAAAAGCTACATTTTTGATACAAAATCAATCATGTTTGCTCATTGTTTACGGACAAGGTTGTGAAATGTAGGAGTTGTAATTCTGAATGCTTGATGTGTATTTCGTAGGCTTCTGTCGCAGATGCTCTGTCAGCCAGTAACATAACATCAGGCTGAAAATAATAGTTTTATCGACAATGTTAAAGGTGGGGTATGTAATTCACTTCAGAAACACTTGTTATATTCCATGGAATGCTCTTAACATCCCGATAGCAATGAATATATTAAATGCTTTGACAATAAATACATTAAAAAAATGTAATCTGTCGAAGCCGTAGCGCTGTAAAAAGCACGACCAATCATCTGAGCCGGCCCGGCTAAAATAACTGGATGGCCTACCTGCCTGTCAGCCTTCCATCTCGTGCACAAACTTATCTCGTGCCCTCATTGGTCATGTGCGTTCGTGTGTGTTGGAGGAGGGGCTCTGTAAGGAAGTCTGAAGGAAGGGGCAGATTTTTTTCGGCTGCGTAGTTTCAAATTCTAGCGCACTCGAGCTGGTTTCTCCAAAATGACATACTCCACCTTTAAGTTAAAATGTCACTCCGCTATCCATCTGATTATATTTCTCTAACCACATGAGGTCAGCAGAAACAACATTTCTAGGTTAAGTTGCTTTTAAAAGTCACCCAAATGACAAATAACATATTGTCACATAAAGATCGTTTTGCTTGTATTTAACTACATTTCAATATATGCAATCTCATCTCTTTGATTTCTGCCTGCAATGTCATTTGTACTGCTTGACAAACAGCATCAAATCTCTAAAACAGTAACATGTATCTCTGCTAACTGTGCCTGTTTTTTCAGACTCTCCTTTAAGAAGTCCAAGAAAAGTCACCCGTCGTGCATCGCATAATAATGTGATTAGTTACAACTGTGTTTGATGAGTCATGTGAAAAAGGCTTATTCATCTGTGGTTTCTCTGGACAGTCCATGTAACAAGCTGTCAATAGCTTTTATTTGTTCCATTAAAACTGTCCCGTGAGGTCCATTATCCACAGTGACTGAAAAAAAGGGTGCTGCCAAAATATTTCAAATGAAATGTTATGATGTTTTTTGTGCCACAAACCAAATCCCTTTCTTTCAAATTCATTTTGCAGAAATGTTAGAAAAGGATATCACTGCCGAAACCCTTCACATGTCTAAAAACTGTTCAAGTTTTTGTTGGTAAATGTAATGTTTTTATCCCTGTAGATTCTTTCAAATGTGCTCGAACATCTATCAGTGTGAGCAGTGTCAACATCCTCTGAATCAGACATGTTATGTTGCTGAAGTCCTGTTCATAAACCCGCTCACACTCCTTTACTCTGTAGCAAAGTGAGCAGCTGGAAATCTATCTTTCTTTCCCCGTAAATGGTTGAGCATGACTTGGGATACTTTCTGGAAATGTCTTGCAGGAGCAGAAGTGCAGCTCATTGCATGAAAGAGGAAATCTGGATGCCTGGAATGATGATGATGATGATGATGATGATGATGTGTGTTACAACCTTAAAAGAAAAAAGAGAAAATACAAAAGCATGGCATATGTTACTCCAGAACTGGTTCTACTTAATAAAGTTTTGATACAAATGTTTTGCATGGGGCCAGCAGACTTTGTACAGGTATGAATAATGAGTATATATTTACAATAAACCTATGATATGGTAAGCATATTCACTATTTTTCATTATGAGTTTATACTTTACATGCACTGATACATATATAATGGAAGATGGTGCTATGGCTGATTTTGACTGTACCGGTGAGTCATGGACTTGAGATATTGTACATTTTAGGCTTCACCGTCTGATACAAACCAAAGTATATTAAAAGCCATTAGCCCCTCAGACTCTAATGAAAATGGATTATATGCATGTGGCAGGTCAGGATGTGCACTTTTCAAAGTGATGGTGCCTTTCATCGTCATGCTGAGCGTATCACTGGCTTTTGATGTAAAGAATGTCCACAGCCGAATACTTAGCAGGCTCATGTGCATTCAGCAGCTGCAGCCAATCAGCTGACAGCAAAACAACAATCTGTGATAGTGATCAAATGGGGGAGAGAGTCACATGCAAATATATATATATATACATACATATACAGTGTATAAACAGTATTTTAATATACGCCATGTTGGAAGAAGTACTCAGAAACGTACTCGATAAAACTGAAAACACAATGGTTTTAATACACTCCATTACAAGTCCTGCTGTCAACAAGGGGCCATTTTATGCTTTTGGGGGGTTTTCCCTTTCCTGTAGTGTTATAAAGGTTTTTGTGCATGTAAATGGTCTGCAAAGGCTCAAATCCCTGTGTTCTCTCCAGAGGGAGTTTCTGGTTTCAGACAGAGGGTGAAAAGAGGAGAAAACTAAAGAGCTTTTTGAACTTAAAGCATGGAAAAAAGTATATTTACCTCTGAAATGTAGATGTGGATTAAAAATTGAAAGTAGCATTAAATGCAAATACTCAAGTAAAGTAGTAATATGTCCAAAAAAATGTACTTAAGTACAAAACATAAGTAAATGAATCAAGTTAATTACCAACACTGAATCTAGGCTACAGAAAAACAAAGCCCTGAATTCCATTTGATAAAGAGGTAATCCAAAAGTAACGGAAAGTAATCAGATTAAGTTACTGATTATTACTTTTACAGGTAACTAGTACATGTAATGGATTGCATTTTACAGTTACCCTCCCAACCCTGCCTACAGTACAACACAGTACAGTCCAATATACTAGAAATAACCATTTCCAATGAATGGTAGTATCAAGCTGTGGCTATTCCTGTCTGAACGCTGCCTCAAATAGCAGATTCAAACACAACATCTAAGTGGGTGGCTGAATGTGAGTTGCAGTGAGTTGCAGATTGTATATGTGAGTGTGTGTGTGTGTGTGTGTGTGTGTGTGTGTGTGTGTGTGTGTGTGTGTGTGTGTGTGTGTGTGTGTGTGTGTGTGTGTGTGTGTGTGTGTGTGTGTGTGTGTGTGTGTGTGTGTTTTGATTGCAAAGGTCGCTTTCCACCACGATGACTCATAACACTGCAGTGCTATTCATTTTTTTTCATTTTCTCCTTTTTATGAAAAAGAGATTTAAACGGAATCTTCCCCCTGTGTCTCCCTATAGTGCGGGTGAGGGGTTTCTTATGATACATTGTTCTTATTGCATTCATCTTTCACACATTGTTCTGCTTATAGCCGTAATTCAGTCACTAGATCACACACGTTGTGAATATCTGGAACGCCTGATGCTATTTTAGACGTCATGCGGTTGTAATTATGTTCATAACAACTGAGCTCCAGATTTTTTGTAATATTCACAACGCTTCAGATGTCATGTTAATTAATAATAGTTCAAACAGAGCTCATTGTTATTCCTGTTCGGAGCGTGAACGATGAGTATCCTTGTGTGTTATTCTGTGTATCATGTGTGTGGTTATACTATACCTTTAAATATCTGTAAAATATATCTGTGACTTTAAATATTTTTCTATGCCTTTTACTTCTAACCCTAACCCTAGGATTACATCAATCATACTTTGTATCCATGATTTCTTTCTTCTGCGTCATTGTCTGAAACTTTATCTTTTCCAGAGCTTATTATTATTTTACCCAATATGGTTCAGATTTATTTCAATGCATTTCAATGGTCTCCAAAGGCTAAAATCCCTGTGTTCCCTGAAACACCTCCATTGGACTCCTTTGTTTACTTCTGTAACAAAATGACATCACTATGTACCAATCGTGCTTCTATTTGCTAGCTTTCCAACACATTGTACGTGATAGGCTAAGGGGCGGGACATCTCTAAGC